GTATTGGGTTCTCTTGGCTCCAGCGACACAACCCCTTTATTGACTGGTCTACTGGTGCCATCATGGGCTGGAGCCCGTTCTGCCACGCTCATTGACTGAAGTCAGCACAGCCTGCCCCGGGACTTCTTCCTGGGGGCTCGGAAGTTGCCTCGGACCTCTCCGCCATTCCCGCAGAGTACCAGGACCTCCGGGAGGTTTTCAGTAAGGCCCCGGCCACTTCGCTTCCGCCGCACCGACTCTACGACTGCGGAATCGACCTTCTCCCAGGCACCACTCTGCCTCGGGGACGACTGTACTCGCTGTCGGGTCCGGAGACCAAGGCTATGGAGACCTACATTGAGGACTCCCTAGCTGCCGGGTTCATCCGTCCTTCTGCCTCCACTGCCGGCACAGGGTTCTTCTTTGTGGAGAAGAAGGACAAAACCCTGAGCCCGTGCATTGACTACCGGGGCCTCAATGACATCGCAGTGAAAAAACGCTACCCGCTACCACTCATCTCCTCGTCCTCCGAGCCCCTCCAGGGGGCCAACGTGTTCTCCAAGTTGGACCTACGGAACGCCTACCACCTACATTTTACATTTTAGTCATTTAGCAGACGCTCTTATCCAGAGCGACTTACAGTTAGTGAATACATATTTTTTTTTTTCATACTGGTCCCCCGTGGGAATCGAACCCACAACCCTGGCGTTGCAAACACTATGCTCTATCAACTGAGCTACATCCCTGCCGCCCATTCCCTCCCCTACCCTGGACAACGCTAGGCCAATTGTGCGCTGCCCATGAGTATCCCGGTCGCGGCCGGCTGCGACAGAGCCTGGATTCGAACCAGGATCTCTAGTGGCACAGCTAGCACTGTGATGCAGTGCCTTAGACCACTGCGCCACTCAGGAGACCTAGTGCGGATATGGGAGGGGACGAGTGGAAGACTGCCTTCAACGTGGCCAGCGGAGTCGCACAAACTTTCTTCCCCGGTTTATCTGCCCTTTCCCCATCTCCAAGATCATTAGCCCCTCGGCTGTTCATCTTCTGTTGCCCCGTACCCTCCGTATACATCCCACTTTTCATGTGTCTAGGATCAAACCCATGTCTCACAGCCCTTTGTCTCCTGTTTCCTGCCGTTCTGTACCTTGTCATACCACCCTGGATTATTGACCTCTGCCTTAGTATCATGTAGTAGCCTAAACCTATCGATGTTACATTGAACTGGGTGAATGTAATATGAATGACAGTCATCCAATATGCTGTAATAGAAATAAGGCCATGCTCATTAAAAAAAATTGTGTCCTCCCTCATCTTAAACGGCACTCACCGCCACTGGTGAGTGTCACACGAGTTTGTATGAGTTGCTAACATGTTGATCCAAAGTAAAGATGTTCAGTTTAATTGCACAACAAGCCTCTGTGCATTTGTAACAGTGTTGTTTTACAACTTCCTCAAAGAAGGTTCATGATAGTCAAAATTAGACTTCCTAGAAAAGGCCTCTTTTTAAATTATATTTATTTACCACCCACACATGCTGCCCAGTCACTTCTGTGTGACTTCTGTGTAAAGGGAACGTAAAGATGGTAAACTAAGCTGTAAGTCAGGTAAAGAGAGTAAACTATAAACTTTTAGTCATAGAGTCAAGCCCAGAACAATGAGATTTGCCAGTGAGAGAACAATGCTACAGCAGCTGTGGGTTGTGGCTATTTCCTTGTGATAGACACGTACAGTATATACAGTGGGGAGAACAGGTATTTGATACACTGCCGATTTTGCAGGTTTTCCTACTTACAAAGCATGTAGAGGTCTGTAATTTTTATCAAAGGTACACTTCAACTGTGAGAGACGGAATCTAAAACAAAAATCCAGAAAATCACATTGTATGATTTTTAAATAATTAATTAGCATTTTATTGCATGACATAAGTATTTGATCACCTACCAACCAGTAAAAATTCCGGCTCTCACAGACCTGTTAGTTTTTCTTTAAGAAGCCCTCCTGTTCTTCACTCATTACCTGTATTAACTGCACCTGTTTGAACTCGTTACCTGTATAAAAGACACCTGTCCACACACTCAATCAAACAGACTCCAACCTCTCCACAATGGCCAAGACCAGAGAGCTGTGTAAGGACATCAGGGATACAATTGTAGACCCGCACAAGGCTGGGATGGGCTACAGGACAATAGGCAAGCAGCTTGGTGAGAAGGTAACAACTGTTGGCGCAATTATTAGAAAATGGAAGAAGTTCAAGATGACGGTCAATCACCCTCGGTCTGGGGCTCCATGCAAGATCTCACCTCGTGGGGCATCAATGATCATGAGGAAGGTGAGGGATCAGCCCAGAACTACACGGCAGGACCTGGTCAATGACCTGAAGAGAGCTGAACCACAGTCTCAAAGAAAACCATTAGTAACACACTACGCCGTCATGGATTAAAATCCTGCAGCGCACGCAAGGTCCCCCTGCTCAAGCCAGCGCATGTCCAGTCCCGTCTGAAGTTTGCCAATGACCATCTGGATGATCCAGAGGAGGAATGGAAGAAGGTTATGTGGTCTGATGAGACAGAAATATAGCTTTTTGGTCTAAACTCCACCCGCCGTGTTTGGAGGAAGAAGAAGGATGAGTACAACCCCAAGAACACCATCCCAACCGTGAAGCATGGAGGTGGAAACATCATTCTTTGGGGATGCTTTTCTGCAAAGGGGACAGGACGACTGCACCGTATTGAGGGGAGGATGGATGGGGCCATGTATCGCAAGATCTTGGCCAACAACCTCCTTCCCTCAGTAAGAGCATTGAAGATGGGTCGTGGCTGGGTCTTCCAGCATGACAACGACCCGAAATACACAGCCAGGGCAACTAAGGAGTGTCTCCGTAAGAAGCATCTCAAGGTCCTGGAGTGGCCTAGCCAGTCTCCAGACCTGAACCCAATAGAAAATCTTTGGAGGGAGCTGAAAGTCCGTATTGCCCAGCGACAGCCCCAAAACCTGAAGGATCTGGAGAAGGTCTGTATGGAGGAGTGGGCCAAAATCCCTGCTGCAGTGTGTGCAAACCTGGTCAAGACCTACAGGAAACGTATGATCTCTGTAATTGCAAACAAAGTTTTCTGTACCAAATATTAAGTTCTGCTTTTCTGATGTATCAAATACTTATGTCATGCAATAAAATGCAAATTAATTACTTAAAAATCATACAATGTGATTTTCTGGATTTTTGTTTTAGATTCAGTCTCTCACAGTTGAAGTGTAGCTATGATAAAAATTACAGATCTCTACATGCTTTGTAAGTAGGAAAACCTGCAAAATCGGCAGTGTATCAAATACTTGTTCTCCCCAGTGTATATACAGGCTGTGGTAAACTTTCTAGGAAGATATTTCAATATCATTATAACTCACTTCCTGAATTGAAAACGAAATTGACCCGAACCTTGAAGGAGATTTACCTTCTCTCTGATCCCTAAGATAATTACTGATCGAAATTAAAGTGAAGGCAAGACAAGGTTGTAGACAACCCAACTTTGTCAGCTCAGTGTTTACTTACAAAAAAAAGATCAATATTCCTAATCTACACATAAATCTCGCTGACCCTTTTCCTGTTTCAAAACAACCACACCAAGCCTAAACTCACTAACTCATTAACACACACTCATTAAAGGCCCGGTGCAGTCAAAAATGTGATTTTCCTGTGTTTTATATATATTTCCACAATATGAGGTTGGAATAATACAGTGAAATTGTGGAAATTATGATAATGCCCTTTTAGTGTAAGAGCTGTTTGAAAAGACCGCCTGAAGTTTCAGCCTGTCTCTGTGGGATGGAGTTTTGGCCTGCCTGGTGACATCACCATTAATAGACCAATAAGAAAGTGAGTTCCAAACCTCTCTGTCAATAACAGCTGTTTTCAGTTTTCCCAGACAGTACTAGCAAAATTCATGCTTGAGAAATTGCTCTTGGTAAGAAGCTATTTTTGTTTCTTTTTGACCATTCTGATTGAAAACAATCACAGTAAAGTACTACATTGTTACCCAGAAATGATTTGATATTGAGATAAAAATGGTATTGAGAAAACATTCACACCCTCTCAGCTATTAATAACACTTTGTTTCCTGAATTGTTCTCTTTAGCAGCATCATGTTCATTTGTGACATTAACACAGAGGCATTCTGAAGGATGAGGAGAGGTACGCAATAGACATGGGGTTAAAATATATGTTGCCTGGGGCTAGTGCAAAGTTATGTCAATCACACGACAAAAAAGTCAAACTTTTGTGGAATGTAACCTATTGTATGAAAAGGATTTATAATATAATATATAATATGCCATTTAGCAGACGCTTTTATCCAAAGCGACTTACAGTCATGTGTGCATACATTTTTACGTATGGGTGGTCCCGGGGATCGAACCCACTACCCTGGCGTTACAAGCGCCATGCTCTACCAATTTAGCTACAGAGGACCTAATCATGTGATGTTTTTGTTATCGTTTATTTACACATAAATGACTTACAATAGCAGAAAATAACTCAAGGGGAGCCCATATTGTATTAAAGGTCGTCCTTGTTCACAACCATGACAACCGTTCATAAGAACATGGTCACTGACTGACTCGTGACTTAAACATGCAAAACGACACCGGACTCTCTGCTACCAACTATCTATTTCATATAATCCATTATTGTTATGATTGGTTATTATATGACAAGTTCTCTCCTTGAGCTTTTAGCTACCAATAATCACGTTTACGTAGATCTTATGTTATAAAGGCCATATTACTTTTCCCACTGCTTGGCTGTGGGTTTCCTCTTCTCATATTTGTTGTGAGGCAAATTACATAAAATATGCAAACATTTATCACATCACCCAGCAGAGGACCTCTAACAAAGTAAACGGATTAAACTAAACAAAGTTATCCATGACTGAAGGCTGGGAGTAAAGGAGAGTGAGAGAGAGTGAGAGAGAGAGAAAGAGAGAAAAAGAGGAAGGAAGAGGAGGAGTCTGCAGAGGACAGAAGCAGGAATGGGGAGGGTGAGATGGAGAGATAGGAAGGGTTGTATGGCAGTTGTAGTTGCTCTGAAACCAGCTCACTATCCAGTCCACAGAAGGAGTTTACTGTTCTCTCCCCACAAACCTCATGGAGCGAGCCTAGTTAAGAACTCAGTCTATAGGAGGCTTGCTATTACCTATAATTTCAAGGTAAGCAGACTGGTTTTCCGGAATTTCTCTTTCTGCATTCTATTCTCCTTCTCTTCCCTCTCGTCTTTCTCACCTTCCTTGCTTACACAGTTTTCTGGGTGAGGTATTTGCAGCTGTGTCTCTAGGCCTCTGGCCAGCTTTGCTCTCTCTCGCGCTCTCTCTCTCTCTCTCTCTCTCTCTTTCCTTTTCTCTCTCTCTCTCCTTTTCTCTCTCTCTCTCTCTCCTTTTCTCTCATTTTCTCTCCTTTTCTCTCCTTTTTCTAGAAAAGCTTTCACGGAAAACACAGAACCAGAACTTGAAAATCTATGTGCAGCAATGGAAACAGGTTATGTGAAGTGAGATCTAGTGTGTTTTAGATTCATACAAAAAAACAAGCCACAAACTTCTGGTTTCTGCTTTACACAAGAAAACCTATATGTTACACAAGACACAGAGGAACATTTCTGCTACACTCTAGTTCAGTGTGTGTGTGTGTGTGTGTGTGTGTGTGTGTGTGTGTGTGTGTGTGTGTGTGTGTGTGTGTGTGTGTGTGTGAACAAGGAAGGAAATGTAGTCAGCAGAGAGCAGCGAGGGTCTGAGAGAGGGACAGAAAGCTTCTGGAATGCAGACTCCCGGAAAGGCTCTAGAACAGGGCTCTCCAACCCTGTTCCTGGAGAGCTACCTCCTGTAGATTTTCACTCCAACCCTAATCTAGCACACCTGATTCTAATAATTAGCTGGTTGATAAACTGAATCAGGTTAGTTACAACGGTGGAGTGAAAACCTATAGGAGGGCAGCGCTCCAGGAACAGGGTTGGAGAGCCCTGCTGTAGAATGTGTGGAATGCAGCCATCACCTCTCAGGCCACTACCTGTACATGTGAAGGCAACCTGAACTCAGGGGTAGAGGTAACATGGTAAAAGTAAATCTGTCTCCCTCCATTTAGTATGATATGTTATAATATATCATACTAAACGGAGGGAGACCGATTTGCTGGTACGCAGCAAATTGGCCAGTGTTACCTAGTGTTGATTTTCACCTGTAACATTTCTAGTGTTGATTCAGGTGTCAAATTAACTCTGTAAGTGTTAAATTAACACTCATTGGTGTAAAATAACATCAGTGTTGGTGTTAATAACCAGTGTTAAACATAAACCACGCCCATCATTATCATATTTCCCAGCATGCTCTATTGCAAGTCAATTTTTGGAATAGTTTGTTTCAATATGTACGTTTTTGCATGTACATTAATTGATGAATGAATGTTATGCTACTCAAATATACATAACATAGATTTTTCTAAACATAGCTTTTTCTAAACTACTCCAATCTGTTACTTGGACTTATTGCACCCATTATTGAAAAGGCTATTTCAGTTTAGACGCTTTAGGTCAGGGATGAGCAACTGGCGGCCCGTGGATCAATTTCCCCAATGTTTTCCTGTTGAGCATTTGTGTAGCAGTTTTTCTCTTATGTCATTCACTGACAACTAACATTTTAGTCTAGTGGCCAGCTATCTAAACTTGTAGTAATTATGGTTGAATTACCAATTGCAAACATTTCTCTCAACCCTATGGCAAAATGTGTAGAATTGAAGGAAATTAGCTGTAAAATGGCTAATTATTCTCTCCGTCCCATGGCAAAATTAGTAGAATTGCATTAAATTAGTTTTAAAATTGCTAAATATTCTCTCCGCCCCATAACAAAATGTGTAGAATACATGCAGGCCTGATGTGGCCTGTAAACTAGCCTCCCGAGTGGCGCAGTGGTCTAAGGCACTGCATCGAGAGATCCTGGTTCGAATCCAGGCTCTGTTGTTGCCGGCCGCGACCGGGAGACACATGGGGCGGCGCACAATTGTCCCAGCGTCGTCCAGGGTAGGGGAGGGAATGGCCGGCAGGGATGTAGAGCATGGCGTTTTCAACGTCAGGGTTGTGGGTTCGATTCCCACGGGGGGCCAGTATGAAAAAAAGAATGTGTGCACTAACTGTAAGTCACTCTGGATAAGAGCGTCTGCTAAATGACTAAAATGTAAACCATGAGTTTCAGGCCACTGTATCATGAAATACGTGTTATATTGTGTTAAATAATTAAATGTTAATGATAACATATTTGCTACGGATCTCACTTGGTGAAAGCCACAGGACTGAAAATAGATGAATGCAACAACCATGTCCCTGTCACTAACAAATACAGTCATGGGTGGTAACTCTACAATTCACTCGAAAGGCAAGGCACTCCTAGAAACATGCAAGTAAGGTTTAATCTATGCAGTGTGTTAATTTAACACTGAAAAGTGTGGACCCGTATAAACACTGGACCAGTGTTAAGTTCGACACTCTCTCAGTGTTGATTTAACACTGGAGAATTTGCTGTGTATGTATTAATTTGTTGATGTCCATCATCCATTTTGTATGATATGTTACGAATTACAAATAAGAATGATATGTTATGAATTGCAATTTCTACATTATGTTACGAATTTTCAATACATATGATTTGTTTTACGAATTCCAATTTGTTGTTGCTAATGTTAGCTAGGTGGCTGGGTGGCTAACGCTAACGTTAGCTAGGTTGTTAACATTAGCTAGGCTAGGGATTCAGGTTAGGGTTAAGGTTAGGGTTAGCTAACATGCTAAGTAGTTGCAAAGTAGCTAAAAAGTAGTAAGTAGTTGCAAAGTTGTTAATTAGCTAAAATGCTAAAGCTGTCCATGATGAGATTCAAACACGCAACCTTTGGGTTGCTAGACGTTCGCGTTATGTTACAAGTTGCAAATTGTACAATATGTTACGAATTTGAAATACGTATGATATGTTACGAATTCCAATTAGTTGTTGCTAGCGTTAGCTAGGTGGCTAGGTGGCTAGGTGGCTAATGCTAATGTTACCGTTAAGTAGTCTTATGTAACCATACCATTCTAATTTGAGTGTCCCGGATTTACATTTACTATGTTACTTCTCGTCTATGAGACCATGCTCGTGAAGGAGGGGGTTAAGATGGGGAGATTCTCTTTTGGGTAAAAGACCGTCCTCCGTCCTCTCTCCTCCATGACCCAGAAACCAATAAGAGTTCAAGTGGTCGAGGAGTGTGTCAATTCGTTAGTAGACAAACTGAATAGTGTCCTCCCCTACTTAATAGCCACCTTTCATTGAGGATACTCATGTGTATCCTACTGCTTTTTGAAATCTGCCATACCCCCTTTGAATCAACTTTTGTTTTGTCAGAGGAAAGAAACATGCACATGTTTAAAAACAATATGCTACTTATTGTTTTATCTATAAAATGTTTTGCACAACTAACTTCATTAATTTTAAGCACTTTGCACATTGATTTTGGGATCCACCCTGTAAACGTCATTTGCCTAATAATGTGCAAATGTAGAGAAGGAAGTGCATCCACGTTTACTCTCCTCACCGACTCTCCTTGATTAACTTCAAACTTTTTCAAAAGGAGGCAAGAGAGGACGGAGGAGAGAGGACGCAGGAGGGGAGCAAATCTAATTGATAAAATGCAATTGTATCACCTCACCTGGCTGCAGGCAGGGTTGGGGAGCAACTGACTACATGTACATGTAATCCGATTTTTTAAAAACTATAATCAGTTACGTTACCAGCAAAAATGTTGTCATCAGATTAGATACTTTTGAAAAACTAGATGATTACTTCTTGGATTACATTAAAACTCAGAAAGGATGTTTGCAAAAAAATACATTATGACACCTTTCTGTTTTCTCATGACATTCAATTCAGTATTGAAAAAGGGTGCAAGTTTAGTTTGTTCCAACTGAGTGAGTATGACCACAAGTCAGTGACCACTATGACACACCAAATGCGTTTGATGGATCATTTTTATTTTATTCTATATACCTCTTAAAGGGAAAGTAATCAGATTACATGACTGAGTTTGGGTAATCCAAATGTTACGTTAATGATTACAATTTTGGACAGGTAACTAGTAACTGTAACGGATTACATTTAGAAAGTAACCTACCCAACCCTGGCTCCTGGACACATTAAGGTGTAGTCTAATCCTATTGTACTTGGGCAGAGAATGGCTGACATTGACACTGAAAGTAAAGTTTCCTGGCAGCAGTGCCATTGTAAACTAGCTAGTCAGACTACCTGGACATGCTTGGTGGCAGAAAACAGTTACTTTCAACATTCACTCTCTTGTAATGGTTTTATTTATCTTTGGTCCACATCCTGTGGCGTGTTTTATGTGGGTAATTCCTCTGTTTCTGAGCTCTGCATGCCTGCACAAGGTCGGTGGGTGAGACTTGTGCCAAGATAAGTACAGTGGTGTTAGGTTTAGCTAGGTTTATGGGTTTATGGGTTCTCTTGTTTGCTTTACACTCTTTAGTTGGAGAGACCTGATACAATAGTTAGCTCTAGCTGTATGTGGCTGTGGGTAGAGAGGTTGCCCTTAAGCAATAGGCACAGATCTATGATCAGCTTACCCTCCCCAAATCCTGATCTGAACCATTAGAGGTGAAAACACGAAACTGACATCCATGGCTGACTATTGTGCCCCGGTGGGTGTCGACTGATAAGGCTACCGCTTCACAGGGTTTACTAGAGGATGGCTGCTGAGGTAGGCAAAGTGTTCCACGTTGTCAAGTGGTTCACAACCAACATAGGTTACTGTTGGATTTGATGGTTGTCCTGGGGCAGGCTGGTGGAGCACCTTTGTTTTATTTATGTTCATACAAGAGTCCCAGACTCTTGTATGCTTCAGAGAACCTGTTCTGCTTTGGAGCGGGCAATAATGACCTCGTATTGGAGGTCTTTGACTGTTCCAGTTCTCACTTTGGTTTTTGCGTGGAGGCTGGAAAGATTGAAGAGGTTTCCATCTGTTCTGTATTGTACAGTGATTCCTGAGTGCTGCAAGGAAGAGGGAGAAGAGAGTTGGTGCCAGCACACGCACGCACTCACACACACACACACACACACACACACACACACACACACACACACACACACACACACACACACACACACCCACACACACACCCATGAGCAGCACACATTTTTTATAAAAAACATTTCACAAGGAATAACAGGTTCACTTGTATTCGTGTAATCTTTATCTGTCATTCAGCAGAGAAAATGCTCTGATACCTTCGTAGATTAACGTTAATGTATTGAGTCAAACAACTGAGTTAACACTATTTACAATATAAACTGCAAAGATGATAATCAATATTTCAGTTATATCACATACAGTATGAATGGGAACACAGAGTTGTCAGAGCTATTTTCTGAACATGACTCAGCCCTGTCTTTAACATTATATACACTGAGTGTACAAAATATTAGAAACACTTATTCATTAGGAACACTCAGAACAGCCTCAATTCGTCAGGGTATGGACTCTACAAGGTGTCAAAAGCATTCCACAGGGATGCTGGCCCATGTTGACTCCAATGCTTCCCACGGTTGTGTCAAGTTGGCTGGATGTCCTTCGGGTGGTGAACCATTCTTGATACACATGGGAAACTGTTGAGCGTGAAAAACCCAGCAGCATTATAGTTCTTTACACACTCAAACCGGTGCGCCTGGCACCTACTACAATACCCCGTTCAAAGGCACTTCAATCTTTTGTCTTGCTCATTCACCCTCTGAATGGCACACATACACAATCCATGTCTCAATTGTCTCAAGGCTTACAAATCCTTCTTTAACATGTCTCCTCCCCTTCATCTACACTGATTGAAGTGGATTTAACAAGTGACGTCAATAGGGGATCATAACTTTCACCTGGATTCACCTGGTCAGTCTATGTCACGGAAAGAGGAGCAGGTGTTCCTAATGTTTTGTACACTCTGTGTATCTGTTTGATATAGAGCCCCACAGTGGAGGTGTCATAATACCCATAAAACCTAGCGGTCAAACAGGGAAACATGATAATGCCCTCAAAGCCGGTGTTTAGAGGATATATTGGTGTTGTTAGGCTCGAGACAAAGTCGAGGACCTGCAGACTGTGCCAATATATCCTCCAAACGCTGGCTTAGAGGGCATTATCACTTTTATACAACAGGTTACCAACATGTTCAACTAATGGTTGACATATTTTCATTAACGTTATTTTCATGAATTTATTCATACTATTTCATCCTTCCACAAGATATAGTCCTGACACAAATCTAGGGTTGCTACCCAAGCCGACTGGTCGTTCGTTCTATCAGTTCGGTTGCCAGACACGCAACCCAGTGGTTCAGTCTTTTTACATTTTAGTCATTTAGCAGACGCTCTTATCCAGAGCGACTTACAGTTAGTGAATACATTTTTTTATTTTATACTGGCCCCCCGTGGGAATCAAACCTACAACCCTGGCATTGCAAACGCCATGCTCTATCAACTGAGCTACATCCCTGCCGGCCATTCCCTCCCCTACCCTGGACGACGCTGGGCCAATTGTGTGCCGCCCATGAGTCTCCCGGTCGCGGCCGGCTGCGACAGAGCCTGGATTCGAACCAGGATCTCTAGTGGCACAGTTAGCACTGCGATGCAGTGCCTTAGACCACTGCGCCACTCAGGAGTTCTGTATCTATGGACACAACCCAGTCATTCGTTCCATCATGTTCCATTGCCATACTGGCTGGCTATGTTCTTATCCCTTGCTTGCTAGCTAGCCAACTCATTCAAGGGGTTTTCTTTATTTTTGACTATTTTCTACATTTTAGAATAATTGTGAAGACATTAAAACTATGAAAGAACACATGGAATCATGTAGTAACCAAAAAAGTGTTAAACAAATCTAAATATATTTGAGATTTGAGATTCTTCAAAGTAGCCACCCTTTGCCTCGATGACAGCTTTGTACACTCTTGGGAATCTCTCAACCAGCTTCATGAGGTAGTCACCTGGAATGCATTTAAATTAACAGGTGTGCCTTGTTAAAAGTTAATTTGTAGAATTTCTTTCCTTCTTATTGTGTTTGAGCCAATCAGTTGTGTTGTGACAAGGTAGGGGTGGTATACAGAAGATAGCCCTATTTGGTAAAAGACCAAGTCCATATTATGGCAAGATCAGCTCAAATAAGCAAAGAGAAACAACAGTCCATCATTACATTAAGACATGAAGGTAAGTCCATCTGGAAAATGTCAATACGTTTCTTCAAGTGCAGTCACAAAAACCATCAAGCGCTATGATGAAACTAGCTCTCATGAGGACCGCCACAGGAAGACCCAGAGTTACCTCTGCTGCAGAGGATAAATTCATTAGCGTTAACTGCACCTCAGATTGCAGCCCAAATAAATGCTTCACAGAGTTCAAGTAGCAGACACATCTCAACATCAACTGTTCAGAGCCTCAGAACTCTTGCCTCAAGATATGATCAACAGCTTCACTTCTATTCCCGTAATATTTATCTGTCAATCAGCGGAAAAAAATGCTCTGATACCTTTGTAGATTAATGTTAATGTATTGATTCACACGTTACGTAAACTGAGTTCTCACAGTCTGCTACCTCTCATATCTGACCATATATCTGACAACAGGACATGGCTGAGGGTAGCACTACACACCAAGTTTGACATCAGTCAGATACGACTGTTTGCACATCAATATACGGCCTGAAAGGATTACACAATATCCACATTTACATTTTACATTTTAGTCATTTAGCAGACGCTCTTATCCAGAGCGACTTACAGTTAGTGCATACATTATTTTATCGAACCCACAACCCTGGCGTTGCAAACGCCATGCTCTACCAACTGAGCTACATCCCCTGCCGGCCATTCCCTCCCCTAATCCACGAGTTGCAATATCTCAACAAGGATATTTGTTTATATTTATAAGCCATTTAGCAGATGCTTTTATTGAAAGCGACTTACAGTCAGGCGTGCATAATTTTTTTTTTTGTGTATGGGTGGTCCCGGGGATCGAACCCACTACCGTGGCGTTATTTACACAATTACATACCCAGGTAATTTACTGAGACAGTGGATACTGACATATACAGTTGAAGTCGGAAGTTTACATACACCTTAGCCAAATACATTTAAACTCAAATTTTCACAATTCCTGACATTTAATCACCACTTTATTTTAAGAATGTGAAATGTCAGAATAATAGTAGAGAGAATGATTTATTTCAGCTTTAATTTCTTTCATCACATTCCCAGTGGGTCAGAAGTTTACATACACTCAATTAGTATTTGGTAGCATTGCCTTTAAATTGTTTTACTTGGGTCAAACATTTCAGGTAGCCTTCCACAAGCTTCCCACAATAAGTTGGGTGAATTTTGCCTCATTCCTCCTGACAGAGCTGGTATAACTGAGTCAGGTTTGTAGGCCTCCTTGCTCGCACACACTTTTTCAGTTCTGCCCACACATTTTCTATAGGATTGAGGTCAGGGCCTTGTGATGGCCACTCCAATACCTTGACTTTGTTGTCCTTAAGCCATTTTGCCACAACTTTGGAAGTATGCTTGGGGTCATTGTCCATTTGGAAGACCCATTTGCGACCAAGCTTTAACTTCCTGACTGATGTCTTGAGATGTTGCTTCAATATATCCACATAATTTTCCTTCCTCATGATGCCATCTATTTTGTGAAGTACACCAGTCCCTCCTGCAGCAAAGCAACCCCACAGCATGATGCTGCCACCCCGTGCTTCACGGTTGGGATGGTGTTCTTCGGCTTGCAAGCCATCCCCTTTTTCCTCCAAACATAACAATGGTCATTATGGGCAAAAAGTTATATTTTTATTTCATCAGACCAGAGGACATTTCTCCAAAAAGTACAATTTTTGTCCCCATGTGCAGTTGCAAACCGTAGTCTGGCTTTAATATGGCGGTTTTGGAGCAGTGGCTTCTTCCTTGCTGAGCGGCCTTTCAGGTTATGTCGATATATAGGACTCGTTTTACTGTGGATATAGATACTTTTGTACCTGTTTCCTCCAGCATCTTCACAAGGTCCTTTGCTGTTGTTCTGGGATTGATTTGCACTTTTCGCACTAATGTACATTCATCTCTAGGAGACAGAACCTTCCTGAGTGGTATGACGGCTGCGTGGTCCCATGGTATTTATACTTGCGTACTATTGTTTGTACAGATGAACGTGGTACCTTCAGGCGTTTGGAAATTGCTCCCAAGGATGAATCAGACTTGTGGAGGTCTACAATTTTTTTTCTGAGGTCTTGGCTGATTTCTTTTGATTTTCCCATGATGTCAAGCAAAGAGGCACTGTTTGATGGTAGGCCTTGAAATACATCCACAGATACAGCTCCAATTGACTCAAATTATGTAAATTAGCCTATCAGAAGCTTCTAAAGCCATTACATCATTTTCCGGAATTTTCCAAGCTGTTTAAAGGCACCGTCAATTTAGTGTATGTAAACTTCTGACCCACTGGAATTGTGATACAGTGAACTATAAGTGAAATAATCTGTCTGTAAACAATTGTTGGAAAAATTACTTGTGTCATGCACACTTGCCAAAACTATAGTTTGTTAACAAGAAATTTGTGGAGTGGTTGAAAAACTAGTTTTAATGACTCCAACCTAAGTGTATGTAAACTTCCGACTTCAACTGTATAAGCATGTGTAATATTGGATATTTTTTACCATTCTATTTGTTCAGTGACAGGCAAGTTAGTTAAGAAAGAGGAACGTTTAAGAAGGAATTCAGTTTCAGTGGCCAAGCTGTAACCCTCTGGGTTTTTCAATATAACTTTACAACTATAGTGAATCTAACACCATAACCTATACATTAGCATTCACATATAGCATATTTAATGCATCTTAACAAATAATCTACAAGTACATTCTTCAATAGTTGGCATTCCTTCTTGGTTAAGTATCTTTTCCGAAAATAGATCATAATTCACTGCGACTGTAATTGAATGATTAAAGCCCCTCTCTCTCTCTCTCTCTCTCTCTCTCTTTCTCAGATGGGCGACCAAGATGTTTATGAAAGACTGTCGGGGTCCCAGACAGACGGAGAGATGGGCGAAGAGAAAGAAGGAGAAAGCGAAGGAGAGAGTGAAACGAGGGGGTCGTGGACAGGCGCTCAGAGTTTCTGCCAGTTCTCATCCTCTCTACGTGCTGTGGTTCGCATTAGACAGAAATACCAGACCATGAAGAAACGACGGCTGGAGTTAGCCGGGCTGGGTGGAGGAGGGCCAGTGGTAAGGGCTGGTCTCCTCACTGGGGCCCCTGTTCGCACCAGCCCCAAAATCTTCACCTTTGAGGGGTTGACCCCCTCCAGCTCCACCAAGACCGCCCCCTCGCTCCTCCAAAAGAAGAAGATGAAGAGGTCGCGGCGGGTTATGTTCCCCAGTGGAGGGGGGTGCAGGGCCCCCGTCGTACAGGAACACAGCCGAGCAAAAAACTGCCTCTTCCTCCTCTGCACCATCCTCTTCCTCCAGGTAATAAGTGAATGTGTGTATGTGTGTGAGGTTCATCTTCATCTTTGTCATCCTCTTTGTCTGTGTTTATGTCTTATTCTGTACTTTCTCCCTCCCTCCAGGTGTATAATGCCATAGAAAACCTTGATGACCACGTCCTGAAGTATGACCTGGAGGGATTAGAGAAGACTCTATGTAGGGAGGTGTTTGGCCAGCAGGGGGCGATGGAGGCTCTTTTAGCCCAGCTCAGAGACTACCTCTCTACTTACGTCCACAATAAACCCCTGGTCCTCTCCTTACATGGGCCCAGCGGCGTGGGGAAGAGCCACATAGGGAGACTCCTGGCTGGGCACTTCCGCTCGGTGGTGGGGGAGCCCCTGGTTCTCCAGTACTTTGTGTTGCACCACTGCCCCCTGGAGGATGAGGCCTGGCGCTGCGCCCGAGCTCTGACGATCTTAGTGTCGGAGACAGTGCTGAGAGCAGAGGAGGAGGAGAAAATTCCGGTATTCATATTTGACGAAGCAGAGCACCTTCACCCAGAGCTGCTTGATGCGCTGAGGGATCTGGTGCAATCAAAACGCTCCAACGAATACCTGAACGCAGTCTACCTGTTCCTTAGCAACCAAGGACACAACCACATCACTATGCACCTGCTGCACAACTCATCCAGCGACTCCATGATGAGGGTGTCTGGGTACCACGGCAACCTCGTCAAGGAGCTGACTCCGTTGTTGCAGAAAACTCTGGAGAAGCTCCACCCACTGTGGGCAGATGCTGAACTCCTACCTCTGACCCTGCTGGAGAAAGGTCACGTGACGGAGTGCTTCCTGGATGAGATGACGAGGGAGGGATTCTACCCGGACCATACCAACATTGAGAGGCTGGCGGGGGAGATAGAGTACTACCCCGTGGTAGGGGGCCGGGTTTATGCCCGGACAGGCTGTAAACAGGTGGTGGCGAAGGTCAACCTGCTGTGAGAGACCTACAGAGGGATGTTGAGATTACAGAAGACAGGGACAGAGAAACACGTGTCCTGAGTAAAGATACTTCTGAACAGTGTCAGTGGCGGTTCCAAAAACTGTTTTGGCCCATAGCCTTTTGGAGCCTTTTTGTGTTTCTTGTGATCCATCAAGTAAACAAAGCCAACATTACTAGCCAGAACCCACCATTGGGGAAAAACATTGTCGTATGTCTGAGAATGAGGAGTATCTCTACGTTGAAGGCTAATCATGTCAGATAATAGTATTTTCTACGTTCTGTAACTTAGCACCATCCTGAACGAGCCCCTTGGTTACTAGATGAATAGATAATTACCATTTAGGTATGAAAAAGAACAGGCTAGGTAGGGCTAATATCATAGCCTGCACATCTGCAGAGTGGAGTCAAAATCAGGAGTTGTGGTAATGGTGAAGCACCACTGCTCATTCTCCCACAATGCTGTTATACAGTAATACACAGACCCACTCCCAATAGAGCCTTCAAACTCAACTCTGGACCTCGAAGCCAGTTCCACTGCATTTTTTCATTGTTCCCTTCTAATCAGGGACTGATTTAGAAATGAGACAACAGGTGTGTGAAATTAATTATCAGGTAAAACAGAAAACAAGCAAGCTCCAGACTTGGTAGTGTAAGAGTTGAATACCACTGCAATAGAGGAAGACGTTAGTAATTGGACCAAATGAGTCTGGCTGTGTCAATGATAACTGCAGGGCCAGGAGCAGCACAGGGAAATGTGATGCAGTATTTGAAGTATTTTGTTGACAAATATACTGTTTTGATTAAACTGTATAATGTTTTCTAAATTATTAATCTTTCTGGTTGACAGTGACCAAGGGGTTTGGGGCATAATGCTTAAGCAGCTTGTTCTGAAACCCCCAGAAATAATTTGAAATTAGAAATACATATGAAAATTATTCCAACTGAACCAAATACTGGAATTCAATGGAATAAGCAGGCTGGTATGGTACAATCTCAGAAACACTCTGCCCCTATTCATCACATGGATATCTATAATCTCAACACCCTATCACTACTATTCTCACTTCAGTGTTAATGGACCATGAACATATTCTCAAAATAACTGAGAAACAAAAGACACCACATCATCAAGACAAGTTCTTTTTAATCAGAATTCCATTACTTGAGGTTGGAAAACAATGAGGTTCTGTGTCCGAACACACAAAATCAAAAAGATTCATAATTATGACACAAATGGAAAGAAAACAAAGATAAATGGATTCATGGTTTATGACTTGGTAAAGGAGGGACCGAGCCTACACAACAGCCTCCCTTCAAGTGTTGTCTAACCGTACGAGTGTTGAAACTCGGAGGAGAATATGTATACTATGTACAGGGACTGTCGATTGGCTCCCGAGGGGACCAATGACAGCCAGGAAGGGGTGTAGGTCTAAAGCAGCATGAGCAACAACATTCTAGAATGGCGCCAAGATTCTCATTCTAGAACAGACTAAATGGAATCCCTGAACATAAATTCGAACAGAAAATCCTCTCAAATGGCGTTATCTCCACATCCCTCTTCATGTGACCACAGATCTTAACAAGACTAGATAGATTTAAGCAACACTGTAGAAATGCAATATTTTCTAATCTACTGGAAGATTCCACCATATTGTTTTCACCTACCAGCTGTCCTCTAAAGATGAGTGGCCTCAGAGCAAAGACAAGGACAGGAAGAAATGTTTTGAGTTTCGGGACATGTAGAACTGCATTCAGCCGATAATACTCCTAATTTGTCCTTCCCTTTATAGCGCTGTATGTGTAATGTAGAATCTTCCTTCAACTCTCCTGCAGACTCCCTTCTTGTTCAGTGCAGTTACAGTAACAGCAGACTGTAGTGGTGGTGAAATGGTTGGTTCCTTCTCAGAGTTGGGCTCAATTAAATCTCAGTTCGGTCAAGTCAGGAATTGAAAGAAAAATTGGCTGAACTGGTCTTACTCCAACCCAGTTGCTTCTGGCTGTAAAATGCCTCTTTCCACCAGGCCTATGACCAAAACTAACTTGACGGTTTACATCCGTGATATGAAAACATACAATTGAAGTCGTACACATCCAAACTCACAAACATCCTATGATCACACTGGGTTTAACTGACACCATGGTCCACAACTGAACACAGCACAACCAAAATACACCTAAACAATGTTTTATACTCAAACCAATACAAAAGAAACAGACGGCATTATTTTTAAACCAAGAGAACACTGGGCTTCAAATGCTTCCATCCTTACTAAGCCTTCTGTTCTACACCCGATATTCATTCAGACATGCTTACAATGAAATACGAAGGGGAATATATACGAATATAAGCTTACATGAGCGACACATTTACCAAGAGTACTCAACCAAACTCCTACTGAAATATAACAAATAGTGCAACTTCAGTAACCAGTCAGAAGATAAAACTTAGCCACAGTTTCTGTACAACGTCTGTTAAAGGAGAGGTATCCATCTCCAGTGCCTGCCTTTATCCACTGAAACCCTCCATTTCAAACTAGATGACCAGTAGTGATAACTAACTAAACCAAAAGACTAGAATATAATGGCCATGACATTACAGAATGTCTCTCTCAGTCTATGTATTCATTCATGTATTTTAGCTACTTTATTCAAGATGGACATGGCGGCCACAGGTTTGACTACTACTGCCAAAACACTCAATGTGTGTGTGTGCGTGTAAAGGGACTGTGGTGTGTGAGAGAGAGGGGTGGGAATGGAGAGGCTACATGATGATGGTTTTGGATAAGGGCTGTGGTAGGGTGTGTGTGGTTGGGAATGGGGGGGGTGATTGGTTCTGGGCTCTTCTCTTGGTTGGTGGGTCTTGTTCACGCCACTCTATGCCTCCAGCTCGAAGCCCAGGCCCACCTTGTGACCGCCGGTGTTGAAGTTCTTCCCATCGATCAGGGCTGACAGAGTCACCTTCACACCTACACAGAGAGGAGAGGAATATTACTGGAGATGTAAAACAATATAGCTAGACCTAAAATGACAGTTGTGCTCAGAGACCTAGCTCCAAGGATATCATGAAATGTAATCAATCAATCATTAGATCACAATCTTGTTTATTGTGATTGTTACTCACCTGGCCTGAGGCTCTGGGTGTAGCCGACTCCAATCAGGCTGGCGTTGTTCACTTTGGCCTGCAGGGGGAGAGACACAGAGACAGTCATTGAACATGTGTTAGTGTGTAAATCTAAATTAATTGTAAAGGGATGCATCCCTGCTAGGGGTGGGGCTTCAGCAAGAGCCTGGGTTGAGACTAAGACAGACAGAGTGTGTTTCTGTGTGTTACTCACAGACAAGGAAGCGTCTTTGTCCAGAGCGTATTTGGCTGCGATGCCGAAGCGTGTGTTGTTGCTGCCGGCCGTCCAGGCCAGAGAGATCGCCGTCTCCAGCTGGTCATCCACCTTCTGGTAGATAGAACCTCCAAACTCAGTCCCATCATTACTGAAAGAGGAGAGAGAACAGTTACAGACATGCCCAAATCAACCCCTAGTTCATACTCCTAGACATCTTCTGGTGGATGGAACCTCTAAACTCTGTTCCATTGTTCCTGAAGGAGAGAGAGGGCATGATACAGTAAGAAACAATCCTAAATTAATGAATACCTCCCTACGCCTTACCATTATTACTGAAAAAGATCATCCATAGAACAGGCCTCCCCATTCAGGTCAATGGTGGCATTATGGGTGGACTGGCAGCCATTTTGAGTTTACCCATGAGTTAAACAGTCAAATTCCAAGGCCATTCTATGGATTCTATTTCTATGAGAGACACACAGGGCAACGGAGGCCACGGTTACCAAACTTTACCATCTAACACATTTCTGATGACTCACTTAAAAACAAAACCAGTGTTTCTAGCCATGATCCACTACACTGAGATACTCACACGTTGGTGTGGAGCTGGAAGTCTCCAGCCTTGTATCCCAGGGCGAAGTTGTTCTGGGCCAGTTTGGACTTGGCCATATCGAAGGCCATCTGGTACCCGGCCAGCCAGCCCTCATAGCCCACCACGGCTGCTGCGTGGATTATGGGACCCTCGAAGTCAACGTCACAGCCCACATTAAGGAAGTCACGCTTGTAGCCAGTCTTCAGCTTGCCACTCTTCTTGCTGAGAACAGATGGAGAAGAGAGAGGACAGGCAAATTAGACAAACAAATATCCTTTCATATCGGATCCTTGATATTCTAAAAAAGGAAAGGTAATAGCATCTTCAATAAATAAATCCTTTCATATCTTTTAGTCAAGTCATATTTTAGTTAACCTCCCCTTTCATGTAACAACGTCATGACCATCATGCTTTTATGGAAAGAGGGTCATTTTGTACATGTATTAAACTGCGAGTTCGACCAATTCCAGTCCACTCCTTAGGGCAGGGGTTTTCAAAGTGGGGAACAGCAGGGGGTCTCAATATATACTGTATATTTTTTTAACATTTGAAAATTACTAACAGATTAAACGAATTTTGGCCAAGGGATCCGTGGAATAAGTTAAAAGGGTGTAATACAATACAATGTAATTCTAAAATGTATGCTCTTAACCCTGGGCAACATGGGCCTGGGAGGCTCATAGGGATATGGTATCCACAGTACTCCTGAAAAAGAAAAGGAGAGCCGCACACTCTAGGAGCTCAGATGCAATAATTTAATAACCTAATAACCAACGTTTCGACAGACAAGCTCTCTTCATCTGCGGGTCACTAGTTTATATAGTGTCAAAGGACACACGCAGGTGTCTGTAATCATGGCCGGGTGTGGCCTGATATCATTGGTTAATTCACAGTTAAACAGAACATACAAAAAACATGAATAGATAGCATACGATCATAGATACAACTTGGCTACCTAGGCCCAACAACATTTACAATGAATAGCAAAATCACAATAATCACACGAATGGCTTCAAATCAAAGTCTACGTTGAGACCGAAGGGAGCAAGGGTCTTTAAATTTAAGATCCAGGCAGCCTCTCGTTTTAACAATAAGTTATCGAGATCACCCCCTCTCCTAGGGAGGGTGACCTGTTCAATGCCGATTTAACGTAAGGACGAAATAGAGTGCTTCGTTTCCAAAAAGTGGGCAGCGACTGGGTAATGGGTATATCGAGTTTTTGCACCTAATGGTGCTACGATGCGCCGAGATTCGCACTTTTAATTCGCACTTTGTTTTACCCACATAATTTTTACCACAAGGACAAGTTATAAGATAAATAACTGCCTTTATGGAGCACGTAATAACACCTTTGATTGGGATCTGTTTCCCTGTTTGGGGGTGTTTGAAGGATCTACATTTGTAAGTGCCATTGCATTGAGCGCAGCCATTACACTTGTAGTTTCCATCCGGTAGAGGCGCAAATAGATGTTGTGCAGGGATATTTAGGGGTGGTAAATCAGAGTTTACCAATTGATCGCTGAGATTTCTGCCCAGCGAGAATACAACCAAGGGAGGGTCCGAAAACACATTACCAATACTGTCATCGGATCTTAGAATGTGCCAATGTTTGTGAACGATTCCCTTAATTTGTTCAGAGCACTTTGAATAGCGTGTAGTTAGAACGAAAGAATGCTTCTTTTTGTGAGACTGTCCTTGAAAGAGATCAGATCTTGATTTGTTTTGTCTCAATGGCAGTATTAATCTGACCATTTTTGTACCCCCTCTCCTTGAATTTTCTTTGCGTCTCAGCCATATTTCTGTCGAAATCTGATTGTTTATGGCAAATTATTTTGATTTGACAGAATTGGCTGTAGGGCAAACTGTTTTTCAAGGGAAGCGGGTGACAACTATCAGCCCTCAACAAACTGTTACGATCAGTAGGTTTCCTGTAAAGAACATTATCCTCACACAAAATCAGAAAATCAAGGAAACTGATTTGACATGTGTCAGACTGCATAGTATATCTCAGGTGCTTAGAACAAGAGTTAAGAAAAGCATGGAATGCCTGGAGCTGTTTTGAATCACCCCTCCATAGAACAAAAATATCATCAATGCACTGTTTCCAAATAATAATGTTAGGCAAGAAAACCTTTTTGAGAGGATTGAAAATGGACTGTTTCTCCATGTAACCCACATACAAATTTGCATAGTTAGGAGCCATAGGGGATCGTCTGAATAAAAAAATCATTTAGAAACATTAAGTAGTTGTGTGTGAGTACTATTTCAGCCAATGTTATAATGCATACAATGGAAGATAGTTCATTTGGGTCACGTTGCAGAAGAACCACCAATTATCCATTTTTCAACTGAATAGTTCTTAGCTTTAAAGCTGCAACAAAGAATCGCTCTGCCTCATAACAAAATGTGTAGAATTGAAGGAAATTTGCAAAATTCTCTCCGATGGCAAGAGATGGGCCTTTAAAATGTTCCTTCCCAGGGCCCCAAGACTTGGTTCGTCTGGCCATGCACTGCCAAAGTCATATTAAAACTCTTTGTATGTTATTTTTATCTCACTCGAGTTGTGTTCTGATTATGAGGGGGTCCCTGATGAATTTGCCATCACTGAAAGGGTCCCCTGCCCCAAAATGTTTGAGAACCCCCGACTTAGGGGTCTGGGGTCCTCCCCGGTATAATTTTATGTAGAAGGACTGAAAAGCTCAGTTCTGGTGACTTTTTAAAATGACATTAGACTCCAAAATGAATGAAAATAATATGCTGACACCATCTAAAATATAATTTGGCTCAAACGCATTAAGGAGGAAAGAAATTCCACAAATTAACTTTTAACAAGGAACACCTGTTAATTCAAATGCATTCCAGGTAACTACCTCGTGAAGCTGGTTGAGAGAATGCCAAGAGTATGCAAAGCTGTCATCAAGGCAAAGGGTGGCTACTTTGAAGTATCTCTCATTTAAAATATATTTTGATTTGTTTAACACTTTTTTGGTTACTAAATTACATGATTTCATATGTGTTATTTCATAGTTTGTCTTCACTATTATTCTACAAGGTAGAAAATAGTAAAAATAAAGAAAAACTCTGAACAAACTTTTGACTGGTACTGTACAGTTGTGATCAAAAGTTTTGAGAATGACACATATATTAATTTTCAAAGTCTGCTGCCTCAGTTTTTATGATGGCAATTTGCATATACTCTAGAATGTTATGAAGAGTGATCAGATGAATTGCAATTAATTGTAAAGTCCCTCTTTGCCATGAAAAGGAACTTAATCCCCAAAAACCATTTCCACTGCATTTCAGCCCTGACACAAAAGGACCAGCTGACATCATGTCAGTGATTCTCTCGTTAACACAGGTGAGAGTGTTGACGAGGACAAGGCTGGAGATCACTCTGTCATGCTGATTGAGTTAGAATAACAGACTGGAAGCTTTAAAAAGGAGGGTGGTGCTTGAAATCATTGTTCTTCCTCTGTTAACCATGGTTACCTGCAAGGAAACACGTGCCGTCATCATTGCTTTGCACAAAAAGGGCTTCACAGGCAAGGATATTACTGCTAGTAAGATTGCACCTAAATCAACCATTTATCGGATCATCAAGAACTTCAAGGAGAGAGGTTCAATTGTTGTGAAGAAGGCTTCAGGGTGCGCAAGAAAGTCCAGCAAGCGCCAGACCATTCATGTGTGGGTTTGCTTCTCAGCCAAGGGAGTGGGCTCACTCACAATTTTGCCTAAGAACACAGCCATGAATAAAGAATGGTACCAACACATCCTCCGAGAACAACTTCTCCCAACCATCCAAGAACAGTTTGGTGACGGACAATGCCTTTTCCAGCATGATGAGCACCTTGCCATAAGGCAAAAGTGATAACTAAGTGGCTCGGGGAACAAAACATCGAAATGTTGGCCAGGAAACTCCCCAGACCTTAATCCCATTGAGAACTTGTGGTCAATCCTCAAGAGGTGGGTGGACAAACAAAAATCCAAATTCTGACAAACTCCAAGCATTGATTATGCAAGAATGGGCTGCCATCGGTCAGGATGTGGCCCAGAAGTTAATTGACAGCATGCCAGGGCGGATTGCAAAGGTCTTGAAAAAGAAGGGTCAACACTGCAAATATTGACTCTTTGCATAAACAATGTAATTGTCAATAAAAGCCTTTGACACTTATGGAATGCTTGTAATTATAATTCAGTATACCATAGTAACATCTGACAAAAATATCTAAAAACACTGAAGCAGCAAACTTTGTGAAGACCAATACTTGAGTCATTCTCAAAACTTTTGACCACGACTGTACATACATACATACATATCAGATTGATGTCTCTCTCTCACCCTGTGTTTGGTACGAAGGATGTGTCCAGGGCCACCTTGAGTCCCTGAGCCAGCTGGTCCTCCACAGTGACCTCTGTAGCCAGGGTGTTGTCTGTGTTCCACTTCTGGTTGAAGCTCAGGCCCAGCTCCTTCATCTTGTACTTGGTCTCCAGGTTACCTGCTGCCTTCCCCGTGTCTGTGTTACTGGACCCTGATGTGTTGAACTCCTGAGGGGGAGAGAAGAAGAGGGGGAGAGTGAAATAAAGAGTGAGAGGGTGAGAGAGAAAAAGAGAGTGGGAGAATGTGTGAGACAAGAGATGGTGTGTTGGGAGATAGAGTTGGGGTCAAAGAGTTATAAAGGACTGAGGGAATGAGTAATTAGTGTGTGAGTGAGAGAAGAGGAGAAAGAGAACTCTAGAAGAGCAGATTGTTGAAACTGTCGTTTTGTGCTGACTGCATTAGACACCCTGAAAGAATCATGCACTATGTGAGGAGAAACACCGAAAACAGATTACAGGTGAAAAGAAAGGTACGCCAGGAAAATAAAGGTCAAGAAAGTGAGGGATGCAAGGTAAGGAGGGTGGATGACTGGATCCCTGGGAGAGAGGAAAGATCGATAATTCTGGCAGATTGGTGCAGCAAAGCAGTGAGTGGCACAGTCAGTGATTGGAGCCTGATAAAGAAATGGATGACAAACAGACTAAATGTAATTAGTTGAAGAGACAAGAATGAAAACAACTGGACAACAACATTGATGAAAACCGTATCACTGACGCCAAACAGTAAATCCAGCTGGACAGAAATGGATGGGAAATCAATTTAAATTTGGTAGGGCTGACCCCATTCAGTCGACTGATCGATTGTTTGGTCGATAGGCTGTTGGTCGGACGAGATTTGTTTAGTTGAGCAGTGGCAAATATATTTATAAAAATGTATGGCACACAAGACACCTGTCTGATTCATGCCCGTCTGTCTAAGTGGACTAATCCATTGCGGAAGCCGTGGGGATAGCACACCAGTAGTACATTTACTGTTAATTCCCATCATTTCTAATCTACAATGTTTGTTTGGTGACGGTAATTTCTGTTAATGCATTCAATATGTTATTATTACAGTCTTACCGTTGTCATTGTAGGAGTGGACACGTTGTTTGCAGAGCGCACAACCTAGGCTACACTTGTGAGAAAAAAGTTTATTTCATTCCATTTACGAGTTATCAATGTATTCATTGTCTTTTGTTTGGAGCGCTCCTGTCAATCTTGAGTAAGGACACGCACCTGATTACACATAGAAGTAGGCCTAGGCTACCTGGCCTACGCACAAATGTAGGCATATAAATGTGCCCATTTGGGGATATGATACTATTTCTGATTGTTTAAATTCACCATCACTGTGTAGCCTCTCAAAGTAATTTTTCTTCGCCTCAAACAGCAAGTAAACAAAGTCTGTTTTTACATCCATTGATAATGACAATAGTTCCTCAACGTAGCCTATTTTAAAAATCTTTCCAGCTCCCGCCCTTTCAATAACGACTCAGCATGAAAGGGGGAAAAAATTTAATGCTCTGATCCGGTGGAAATGTCATAAAATAGGCCTATCTGATTACTTCTTATCCGTTGCGAAGATAGTCTACAGCTGTCCGTCTGTCTGGAACTGCATAGCCAACGTGATTTATAGGATATTTATTTTCGTCAGGATATTTTCTACCTGCAGGCTGCAATGTTTTTATTTGGTGGTTTATGTAGGCTATTTTTACACATTGGCAATGGCATCATTTTAATTTTGATTAACCACATGACATTGATTTAGATATGAATACTTTATTATAAATTAAATGAAACTGTTCCACAAAAATGTGCATAACTGGTGCGCAGATTAGTAGAAATGGTACGATAACTTTGCACTCCAAATGGAAAAGGTTGCCGACCGCTGGTGTAGCCTATTACCGGCAACGTTAGGAGCGTAATGGCAGAATCTGCGAAGGCCAGCAGCAGCAGGCAGTGGGAGAAAGAGGGTTGGGAACAGTTTTTCCCCCCCATCTGGTTAGGCTATATTGATCTCTGGCCCCCTCTTTAGTCATTTGTGTGACTTTAATCGCAGTGCTTAAAGCATCAGACAAGCTCAGTAGCCTACATATAGTTGATTTTATTCAAACATATATATGGAAAAATATTTTTGTATTTATTTAGACCAATCGATTGATAAAAAGAACAGATGACTCTTGGTCGCCAAAGATAAATAAAACAAATTGTAGGGGCCAGCCCTAAAATGTGGACGGACACAAAAATATTTATAATATTCACTGGACAGTGATGAACATGCAAACAGACCACCAACAGTACCATCAGCTGGACATAAGAGGATGCAAAAAACACAAACACACAGTCTGTCTGCATCTCCCGGCACATATCACATATCATGCAGTATATACATATAGACATCAGTACACTGTGGGAGAGAGTCTTACCATCTACAATAGAGAGCAGTCCAGGAGGCAGCGGGACAGAGCAGGGGTTAGGATGGCAGATAGGGAGGAAGGGAGATAGACAGCCCCCCACCCCCACAGTCTTACACACACACCAGGCCTGTCATATCTCTCTATCCTGAAGCATAGAGCCCCTAGCAACCTGTGAACCTTAGAGCTCAGAATTACAGACAGTTAGAATGGTTGTGTTATAACAGAACCAGACAGGATTAGAGAGAGAGTGAGAGAAAGAGAATTAGAAAGAGAAGCTGAGGCAGAGCAGGTGGGACAGGGGAGAGAGGGGAATGTAAAGGGGAAAGGACAGTAACAGAAGACTCACCACTCCGCTCTGAGACTTGGTCTTCAGGTCCAGCTTCACAATGCCGAAGACTGGATGATTAAACAAGAGGTTGATGAGTTAATGGTACATCTGAGCAGACTCGTAGAGTCATAAAACATATATGGCCGCGATACAGTCGAAGACTTGTGAGAAAGTACGAATGACAATTGGTTTATGATGCGTTGAATTACACATATCATGGTTTGCTTTGCTTTCTAACAACCCATAACCTCGCCAGCCAAGTGCAATTAAAAAATGGTATACCTCACATTGGCTGATTCCCAGTTTACTTTGGCGTTTCAAATTCTGGCAAGACCAGGCTATAAACAGTAACTTGATCTGTTCTTTCCTGCTTTAGCCAACTCCCCTGACTGTCTTTTTTTGTGTGGAATTTTGGCTTCTCCTCCTTAGCCTTACTGTTCAGGTGTGCAAACATGTGTACTATTAACTCACCATAGCCCTTGCTGAATATATCCTTGGCAGCCTTGCCCAGGTCTGAATATGAAGGAGGAACAGCCATTGCACCTGGAGAGGAGAGAAGACAGGACATTCAACACATGCATGCCTGTGTCCTACTGCAATACTTGACTCAGTTCACATAGATCAGGTGGTTGTTCGGTGGAATGTGATTTTCTAGAATGTTGCAAACAGCCGACACGATTCCCTCAGGACTGATTTGGAAAAGTCAGAGGTGGTATGTATTTTCTTGACTGGGGACAACAGGAGCATGCAGAACAGGCTGCAGTATTTGCAAACCTACATCCTTGTTATGGCTTGACAGGACTGGGCACAGACACATATTGTAACAATATTTGCAGGCATCACAAAACCAAACTAAGAATTTATTAGGAATCCCCATTAGCTGCTACTCTTCCTGGGGTCCAAACACATTAAGGCACTTACATCATACATAAAACAAAAGATAAAACAGTACATCATATAACATTACTACACCACTACATATCTACAATACAAAATGTATGATACCACCATACAACAATATTACAATGTACGTGTGTAGAGTTAATGTACTAGCGTGTGTGTGTGTGTGTGTGTGAGTATGCGTGTGTCTGTACCTGTGTGTTCTCTTCACAGTCCCCATGTAGTCATAGCTCTATGTAGTACTGTGCGCCTCCCATAGTCTGTTCTGGATTTGGGGATTGTGAAGAGATCTCTGTTGGCATATCTTGTGGGGTATGCATGGGTGTCTGAGCTGTGTGCTAGTAGTTTAAACAGACAGCTCATGCATTCAGCTTGTGAACACTTCTTACAAAAACATGTAGTGATGAAGTCAATCTCTCCTCCACTTTGAGCCATGAGAGATTGACATTAATGTGAGCTCTCTGTGTATATTTAAAGGCCAGCCTTGCTGCCCTGTTCTGAGCCAATTGTAACCCGAGGTCCCTCTTTGTGGCACCTGACCACACGACTGAACAGTAGTCCATGTGCGACAAAACTAAGCCCTACAGGACCTGCCTTGTTAATAGTGCTGTTAAGAAGGCAGAGCAGCACTTTATTATGGACAGACTTTCCCCATTTTAGCTACTGTTGGTTAACATGCTTTGACCATGACAGTTTACAATCCAGGGTTACTCCAAGCAGCTTAGTCTCCTCAACTTGCTAAATTTCCACATTATTCATTACACAATTTAGTTGATGGCTACCTAGTTGATTTTTACAGGAGATATTTCTATTCATGTGTATTTTGAGATACCTTGAAATGTCGCAAAGCCTTCTATTCTATAAAATTATCAGGTTAGTAATAACTAAATGTATTTATAATGTAAAATGTTTTACTGTGCTAGTTAGTTAGCTAATGTTCAACGCTATAAAATTGTAAAACTGTATTATCCTGCCAACTACCTAACAGTGGGACTCTGGTTAATCCACTCCTGATTATCTTTCAAATTGAGGACGCGATGACAGCTAACTTTAGCTGAAAGCTGATTTGCTGGATGAATATCTTGAAGGTGAGGGTCATAGGGCACAAAGTAATATCTTTGTGCCCTAATATCTGGCTTAACATGTATTGTGCACCGTCCATTTCGGACAAAGGACAGCAGATGGGACAGTTTGGAGAGTGGTGTTTAGCAAGGCTAGCCAAATTGTCCTAGTTGGAACGCTGGCTAGGCTAGGTAGCTAGCTACATCTGCGTTGGGATGGCTTGACTTCATCAGTAAATTAGCTAACTAGCCAAAAGGTAAGTAAAGATATTCCAAACAACAAATTATACGCTATATAAAAGGTTTAAGACAACTTCACTGTATAAATATTGTAATTAGTTGGCTAGCTAGCCTCACCCAATGTAGGTCGTAGCTAACGTTGACTCGCTAACTAGCCTTGGCTAGTTGTCACGAAAACCATGGTACACGCCCACTATTTGTTTGAAGAAAAAAAAGAAAAAAAAATCGTATATTAAGCCATCATTGTAATGTAATAGTTTATATCTTGAATTAACACAAAATTCTACTTTGTATTAGACAGCACGACATTGCCAAACAACATTATGTAACATTTGCTAGGGGACTAGCCAGTGCTAAGAACTAGTAAGTTAGCTTGCTAGCTAACCACATTACTCAACAGATGGACATTGGAATAGTCCCCTTGTAGCGGGTTAGCTAACATTAGCTAGCTAGTTGGTGCAGTGGCTAACCTTGGACAAACGCGCTAGTTAGTGACATGCATTTTCCATGATTCTTCCATGCAATAAACAGCATTATAACAATAAACCATTGTGCTATATCAACAGTAGCTAGATTGTTCATACCGATTTTATGTTGTGAAGCGTCCTTCACCCTGTCAAAGCTAGCGTACTTTAGCCCTCTCCCACCAACTAGCATGAAGCATCTGCCTGGAAAAGATAGGGCACAGTGAAGGAGACACAATGAGCATGCGCAATTCACAAGGGCGAGGGCATGAATGACTGCAGCAGAATGTTTTAGCGACATAATTTGTCAAATTCATTCCAGCATTAGCCAATAAAGCAAAATATTCAGTGAATTCAATTTATTCATAATCAAATTGCATCTCTTGGGGCTTGGGAGGGACAATCTTTAGGCTTTTTGCAGCCCGTCACTAGTTAACGTACCACAGCCATAATCCCCGTTTATTTCTACAATTTATCTTCTTAAAATGTGATTTTAAACTTAACTTTGACAATAATATTTACCACACTGCTAACTTTATGCCTAACCATAAATTAAGATCAAAAAGCACATTTCTTGTTTTAATGAATTTTTACGATATAGCCAAAGATTTGCATAACTAAACCAAGATAGACCACAGCCTGTCGTTTCCAATGTGAACAAATTAGTCATAGTGTGCAGAACAAGCAAGGAGGTGGGCAGAGCCAAACACGAGCTAGCGAGATCCTATTGGCGCGTTCTAGCCATATCTGCATATTTTGTTAGGAACGCCTCCTCTGTGAAGTGCGCATGTGCAATAACTCAATTCGCCTTTGCGCTTCTCCTAAACAACGCGATTTAAAAAAAAAAAAACTTTGAAAGGGTTAAGTCTACAAAACTTAGTCCACTCTGTTCATAACAGATTCTAGTTTTGGGAACAGAAAACTGTATTGAGATTAAATGTTTCATCGATGAGAAAATGTGCAGAATGTCGGCCAAAATCCATATCGTTCCATCTTCTCCCACTGCCGGCCAGTGGGCTTCCACTCACTACCAAAGCTTCCCCTCACTACCATATTTGGTAGTGTGTGAAACGCTAAGCGGACGCGTCACATTTATACGTCATTGTTCTATCTGTGATATAGCTATCTTTGACTTTGTGGCTGTGGTAACTAGTGAAAACAGAATCCACTGGAGATCCATAGCGCCCATTAGCGGCTGCGCAGGCTATGACTCCATTAGGTTATATTTGGACGAAAATAGCATTATGTTTAGTGACAAATAATAGGATAAGAAGTCATCACCACTGTTGTTGTAGGCTATAGAAATTGGGGGATGTAGTAGGCTTACCTAATATAGGGCCCAATGACGTGTCAGTGTCAAAGGCTGCCTATAATTTGTGTAAAGCCCAATGTGAGGGTCAAATTGGTGAATATTTTTGTTTATACCTACATTGCAGGCCACCCTAAGAAATGTACAGGTTGTTTAAAAAGGCCAATGTTGGAAACTGTTTTCTATAAAGTCTATGGTGGTTGGGGTCAACAAGGGCCATGGGGCCCCTATGAATAACACTAGGCTACTGACTGATAGGTTTCTTTAGGGGAGGCTACAGTTATTCTGTCTGGACTGAACGACTAGGCTAATCAAAGCAGGTGAGTGAATTTCCCGTTCCACCTTAAATCGGGTTTGTTTGTGAAAAATATGGCGCTTTTCTCCTTTAAGTTGGTAAGGGTGAAAACCCCACGCCCCGCCAAGTAAAACTGGCCACTATGGGCCGATACAATACTGGCAATGGAGGAGTGAACTTCAACTGCCGAAAGTGGAGGCAGCATTAGCGTTTGAGCTGTGCGGAGTCCAATTATCAACACCGCCTTTGTACGTGATCGCACATCAAGAAGCTGTAGGTGTGATCGAGGCGCAATTCGTGCACAAAGCGCTGGAGTGTGGAGTGCACGGAGGCTGACGATCGTCCTAGAAGTGAACAAGTTTTAGGTTGTTTTGGGGGGCCGATTCTTGCCAATATGTCCGGGAATCCCACATTTGTGAGTCCCTTCCACAGACCCCACTGTTTGGCTGCCGCCGCCCCAGCCCCAGCAGGAAAAGCCAAACTCACCCACCCTGGAAAAGCCATTCTAGCAGGTAAGGATACAGTCATTCATATTTCCTTGTGTATGCTGCTAATATTGCTTTGTATCAAAATTCAGGCAGCGTTCATTATAGCGCCTTGCTACGTTGTAACACTGCAAATCAATGTTACTGTGACAATGCAGGATATTATACAGGGTTTTCTTTTTACTTTTGTAGTGGCAGTCTGTGTGTAGCAAGATATTTCAAAACTATTGCCTGCCTATAGAGCTTACCATGGGAGTGATGACGAACTTTGTTAGTGTAGTAAATTATTATTTAAGTCTACTAATCTATTGAGACTTTTCTTCATTTCTTCATGAACTACGTGTCAGTTGCTAGGGAGTAAGGCACATTTGATCACAATATAGCAACACAATTATGTGCTGTTCTTGACAGGGTGTCCAAACTGCCCCTAAAACAGCATCAGTGGCAAGTAAGTATCTGATGTGCTTTGGCATGAGATATGCTGTATCTTGTCATACACCTTGTTTTTTTGTGACTGATGGGGGAGGAGGAGCAGGGGGAGGTATGTGCTTACAAGGTAACTAGTCACCCCCTGAGGGCGATGTACTGTCTTCATGCACTGTGGAACTTGATGAGTGGAATGAATCTGCAGCCTGCCTGGTGTGTGTGTACACCTGGAGCTGCAATATGATAATTATTGAATGAATATGAGACTTTAGGAATACTTTAGGAAGACAGTATTCAATTGTTTGGAAATAAAATGAGTCTGCAATGTCTATGCCTGGTTTGTCTTCAAACTTATAACACCCAAAGTGCACACCTTATTTTGACTAAAGTTCAGGAGGACTGGCTGCATCTGTTGAACTATCAATTTGGCCTTTTAGCCTTTGCTTCAAAGTGTGTGTGTGTGTGTGTGTGTGAGCGATCTGTTATTCCTCTTGAAACTCAGACAAAAAATACCATGATTTGGGGGATTTTCATGAAAGATAATCCATAGCATGGTCCTTTTGGAAGAAGGATTGTTGACATATATATTTTACCTTTGTATCTAAAAGCATAAAAATAAATAATTAATAAAAGTTGGCATATTTATTACATTTTGGCCATACCCAGGCCTCCTTTAAGACTCCATGTTGGTGTTACAAAGCTAAAATGTGTCATATGAAGCTTTACCGCTTGCTCTGTAATATGAGTAGTATACTGACTTCAATAAAAACATTAATTTATTAGTATAGTAAAATGAATATTGAAAATATAAAATGTTTGACTTGGCTATTTTTTTAAAGTATATTGTTGAACTGATTTTTTTATTTTACCGCTATTTAACTAGGCAAGTCAGTTAAGAACAAATTCTTATTTACGATGACGGCCTACACCGGCCAAACCCGGACGACGCTGGGACAATTGTGCGCCGCCCTATGGCAGCGTTTCCCAAACTTGGTCCTCGGGACCCCAAGCGGTGCACATTTTGTTTTTTGCCCAAGCACTACACAGCTGATTCAAATAATCAACTAATCATCCAGCTTTGATTATTTGAATCAGCTGTGTAGTGCTAGGGCAAAAAACAAAATGTGTACCCCTTGGGGTCCCCAGGACCGAGTTTGGGAAACGCTGCTCTAGGGGCATATCAAAGTTCCAGAGTGGGATCTCTGCAACTTTAGACTTATGATCCAATTTGTAAGCCTTACTAACGGAGTGAATGGGGAAAAAATGGTTGCCCTCTGCTGGTGATTTGCAGGATGTGCAATGATACAAGTGGGTTTGAGACACTCAAATCTGAGTGAGTTCCAATCTGGAAAAGATTCTGTTAGAATTTTATGGAACACTTGGTACAAACATGATTGGCTGTTCTATCTCCTGCTCAGAGTATAACTTTGGCTATGGCCTTGTGTGCTCCAAGCCAATCATGTCCTTGTGTTGCACAGCTGTGTAGAGATTTGTAGCCATAGTAAGGCTTGTCATGGTTTGCATGCAGCCTGACGAGTAAGGTCCTTAGATTGCAACGTTGCTGCACATGCATCCTTATGCAGTTGCACTACTTGGTTTGTCTCTTTTAGGACAATACATGCTACAACATTATTGAGGGCATTCATGGTCGATAACGCATTTGTGTGTAAATTGCTTCTGTATCTTGCTTCTTGCAAGAGTAACAAGTGAACACTGATCCATTCCAATTCCTTGATATACTAGAAATATCACTAGACTACTTAAGGTGATATAAACCATTTGTCTGTCTCTCAGTTCTCTAGCACATTTTTCAGGCCTGTTTTCCCATGTCTATCAGTCTATCCTTGTCAGTCAACTACGCTTTCACCTGGAGTAAATTGTGAGCTATCGGGGCCTACTCATTTGCACTCACAGGATAGATGAGAGCAATATGATGGATGTCTACCAGGAAGTGCTTTCACAATCAAACCAGATAAAGGAAAGGAGATGACAGGAAACCTTTTACACTACCAGTGAGATTCACCCAATAGTGTGAGTGCTTGACATGGGTCTGAGGCCTGCAGAGCAGTACAGTGCTTTGTGCCTGAATCTATGAGCCATGATGACACAGCATAAACTGCACACACTTCTGCAGTTCAGAGAGCGCACACACACACTCCTGCACAGACACACTGCTTCACACACGGCACACATGCAGCTGGTTTATAACACCCTTTCACCAGATCAGGGGCACATGCTGAAGGTGGGGTTGTCCTGCGATTTTATAATTTTTCTTCAATGTTCACTCTCTTGTGCACTTGATTACCCCCATAGAATGCAAAGCACTCTGAGACCCAATAAAAGGTGCTATAAATGCCATTCAATTAATTGGTAATGTTGTTGAGCATTACTATGGCACTCAACACGCCCTCATCTACCCAAATTAAGTTATATCTGCCTATACATGCAGTTGTTTGGCTTGCTTCCTTATCTCTAACTCAGGTTGTGTGACTTTTATAATTCAGCTGAAACATGCTTCCTTCACTGCTTCCTTAGAATGGTAGAGTAGGGAATGAATGAATGACTGGCCTGTTACGAGGAAACAATTAGACACGTCTAATTATAAAACATCTAACGGTATGACAGGAAGAGCCGGGCACTGGGCAGAACTTCTAGCCTACTGTGTAATAACAAGATAATTAACATCAGCCGCCTAGTGATAAAAAAACTTGACTCTTTTGGCAACTTCGATAAGGGGAGAGAATTTCCGGGGTGGGTCCCCTTTAGATGGACAACTCTCCCAACAAATCACGAGGCAGACATGCCAGAACGTTGTGATTTGAAACCTAAGTTTGCAGGAACAATTTTGAAGTGGTTTTAGGTGAAGCTAGTTGATGCAAACTAGCCACTTGCGAAATGCACTCATTAAAAATAACCGCTGATCTCCATTTTTCTAGCTACTATTTAGTATTTTATTCAAGTGAATAAGGTAGTGACGTAGGCAGTGATGTAGTTCCTCTATGCCAAACTAAAGTTTTCTATTACGTACAGACTTGCTGGAACATTTGTGGGAGGCAACCTGGATGTCTAGGGTTAGGGTGCGGTAGATCATGTAACTGTTTGTTACGTGCAATATGCTTTGTGGAATTCACCGGACAGAGGTTGCTCTCTGGTTTTGTGATGAAAGAAAGGTGTGGTTGAATTTATTCTATCACTGTGTCTTCTTATTGTCTTGACCTTAGGCCTACAGTGGGGGAAAAAATGATTTAGTCAGCCACCAATTGTGCATGTTCTCCCACTTAAAAAGATGAGAGAGGCCTGGAATTTTCATCATAGGTACACGTCAACTATGACAGACAAAGTGAGACAAAAATACTTACTTTCTACCATACTTTGCAAATACATTCATTAAAAATCCTACAATATGATTTTCTAGAATATTTTTTCTCACTTTGTCTGTCATAGTTGACGTGTACCTATGATGAAAATTACAGGCCTCTCTCATCTTTTTAAGTGGGAGACCTTGCACAATTGGTGGCTGACTAAATACTTTTTTCCCCCACTGTATATATCATGGTTGCAAGGCATATGAACTAACAGGTTATAGAGCAAACATCGCAAGTATCTAAACACATACTTTTGTATGTATAGTGTATGTGGACACCTCTTCAAATTAGTGGATTCAGCTATTTCAGCCACACCTGTTGCTGACGGGTGTATAAAATCGAGCACACAGCCATTCAATCTTCATAAACAAACATTGGCAGTACAATGGCCTTATTGAAGAGCTCAGTGACTTTCAACGTGGCACCTTCATATGATGCCACCTTTCCAACAAGTCAGTTCGTCAAATTTCTGCCCTGCTAGAGCTGCCCAGGTCAACTGTAAGTGCTGTTATTGTGAAGTGGAAACGTCTAGGAGCAACAACGGCTCAGCCGCGAAGTGGTAGGCCACACAAGCTCACAGAATGGGACCGCTGAAGCGTGTAAAAATCGTCTGTCCTCGTGTAACCGGTGTGAAATAGCTAGCTAGTTAGCGGTGCGCGCTAGTAGCATTTCAATTGGTGACGTCACTCGCGCTGAGACCTTGAAGTATAACGGTGCTTCAAGGGTGACTGTTGTCTGTGTGCAGAGGGTCCCTGGTTCAAGCCTAGGTAGTGGCGAGGAGAGGGACGGAAGCAAAACTGTTACACTCGGTTGCAACACACACTACCGGGTTCCAAACTGCCTCTGGAAGCAACGTCAGCACAAGAACTGTTCCTCTGGAGCTTTATGAAATGGGTTTCCATGGCCGAGCAGCCGCACACAAGCCTAAGATCACCATGCGCAATGCCAAGCGACGGCCGGAGTGGTGTAAAGCTCGCCGCCATTGGACTCTATGGAGTGATGAAACATGCTTCACCATCTGGCAGTCCGATGGACGAATCTGGGTTTGACGAATGTCAGGGGCACGCTACCTGCCCCAATGCATAGTGCCAATTGTAAAGTTTGGTGGAGGAGGAATAATGGTCTGGGGCTGTTTTTCATGGTTTGGGCTAGGCCCCTTAATTCCAGTGAAGGGAAATATTAACTCTACAGCATACAATGACATTCTAGATGATTCTGTGCTCCCAACTTTGTGGCAACAGTTTGGGGAAGGCCCTTTCCTGTTTCAGCATGACAATGCCCCTGTGTACAAAGTGAGGTCCATACATAAATGGTTTGTTGAGATCGGTGTGGAAGAACTTGACTGGCCTGCACAGAGCCCTGACCTCAACCCCATCAAACACCTTTGTGATTAATTGGAACGCCGACTGCGAGCTAGGCCTAATCGCCCAACATCAGTGCCCGACCTCACTTATGCTCTTGTGGCTGAATGGAAGCAAGTTCCCGCACCAATGTTCCAACATAAATAATAATAAATAAATAATTGGTCATTTAGCAGACGCTCTTATCCAGAGCGACTTACAAGAGCAATTAGGGTTAAGTGCCTTGCTCAAGGGCACATCGACAGATTTTTCACCTAGTCGGCTCGGGGATTAGAACCAGCGACCTTTCGGTTACTGGCACAACGCTCTTAACCACTAAGCTACCTGCCGCCCTAGTGGAATGAAGAGTGGAGGCTGTTATAGCCGCAAAGGGGGGATCAACTCCATATTAATGCCCATGATTATGGAATGAGATGTTCGGCGAGCAGGTGTCCACATACTTTTCATATGTAGTGTAGATTGTAATATGGCTTTTTGGGGGGGCTTCCCCAGTGATTTTACCCACGCGCCGCTACTAAGAGAGACTAAGTGTGTGTGTGTTTGTGGATACTGAAGTGTTGCATGACCATTCTTGTGTGGAATTGACTGCCCTGCATGCTTGTGTGTAGAGGTGAAAGGCATGCTGAAGTCCAGAGCCTCAAAAAATGTATCTTTCAGAAGCATCAGCATGGGGTTGAGGTTTAGATTCAACCAGGACGTTTCCCACACACACATTAGGGCCAGCTTTCCCCACTTCAAATCTAACAGATTTTCCATGGGGAGTGTTCAGTTAAAACAGGTTAGAGATTGCTATGTTATCACAGAACTATTTGCTCAGCTCTTATGGAGTTGCCCCTTGATCCAAAGTTTATGTTTGCTACCAGCAACAAACTATAGGTTTATGACGACTCTGTGTGAGAGAGGCTTCCACATGCATCCCAGCCGAAACAGTTCGGTAGAGTTCGTGCATATGTTATGACGACATTTTGTGACGTTTTTGTTGGTATGGACTTCGGTGAGGGGTTTTTCGGCTGTTCGGGCTCACGACTTTTTTTCTGGAGGCAAGCGGAAGTTCGGAGCCGAAGTCTACGCCCCTTCGTCGGTGATTGGTCAACAGTAGGGATTCGTCAAAGTTTCTGTTGTCATTCAACGAGAGATGACTCGTTTTCATGCACATTCTTGCATAGAAAAATACTGCACCAAACATCTTAGTTAGATGTAAAATTGCGCGAAAGATCTCTTCGGCAAAAACGTTAACTTAAGAAATCTGTCATTCATTTTATCTTAAATGTATTATATTTTGTGTATACTGGCTACGGCGTCTCAAAATGGACAAACCGTACAATTGGCTCTTTTTTCTAGTTTTTCAAGCTAGGTCTTTTAAGGGAGTATGCGAGCACACGGTTCGGCTAGCTGAGTTCGTCTAGGCGCCAGCCGAACTGAATCATGATGACGCCTTAACTCCCTCTCTCTGTCAGTGGAGTCACACCCCCACGGATCAGAGCAGGGCAGAGGGGAGTATCCTGTGGGCAGATTCCCAGCTCAGCCAATCAGAGCCCTCCTTTCTGTTTGCTGTTCAACTGCAGATGTGTGGAGCTCCGGCTGTTAAGGTGGAACCAGGAGGTTACCAATAAAACGACAGTTACAGAGAAAAGTCCTCTTACACTATGGATCTTTGTTTTTCTTTTTCTTTAAAAAAATTATATTATTCAGACACTGATGATACTTTATAATTTAGTCATTTAGCAGACATTAATGGCATTTATTCAGCCAGCAGAGAAGACCCATGCCTTTTAACTGAAAACTTGTCTGTTGTTCCAGATGGAGCAGAGGGTATAGAGATCAGCCTAACTACCATAACTCCTCTGTTTCTCCCTTTCTCTCTAGGTGGTATTGCTGGAGGAATAGAGATCTGTATTACATTCCCTACAGAGTATGTGAAGACTCAGCTGCAGTTGGATGAGAAGGCCAACCCTCCCAGATATAAAGGCATTGGTGGGTATCTCATATCAAGTATTATTTGTCACATGCTTCAACAGGTGTAGACTAACAGTGAAATGCGTACTTACTGGTCCTTTTCCAACAATGCAGAGTTAAAGATAAATATTGTAATTATTTAAATAGTGACATGGGGAATAAATACAATGAATAACAATAATGAGTAAAAATAACACGGCTATATACAAGGAGTACCAGTACCGAGTCGATGTGCAGGGGTACGAGGTAATTAAGATAGTATGTACATATAATAGGGGTAAAGTGACTAGATAGACAGTAGCAGCAGCATACTGTATGTAGTGAGTGTGAAAGTGTGTGTGGCGTCCGTATGCATGTGTGCACGTGTTATGTGTGTGGGCATATGTAGTGTGTGTGTTAGGGTGTCAGTTAAGTATGTGTGGGTATAGTCCAGTGTGTGTGGATAGTCTGTGCAAGAGAGTTAGTGCAAAAAAGTGTACGTGTGTGTTGGGGTGTCAGTGTAAGTATGTGTGAGTGTGCGGGTAGAGTCCAGTGTGTGTGCATAGAGTCAGTGCAAGAGAGTTTGTGCAAAAAAGGGTCAATGCAGGTGTAGCTCAATGCCCCGTGTAGCTCAGTTGGTAGAGCATGGCACTTGCAACGCCAGGGTTGTGGGTTCGATTCCCACGGGGGGCCAGTATGAAAAATAAAATTAAAATTATGCACTCACTAATAAGAGCGTCTGCTAAAATGACTAAAATGTAAAAATGTAGTCCGGGTAGCCGTTTGATTAGCTATTTAGCAGTCTTGTTTAGCAGTCTTATGGCTTGGGGGTAGAAGCTGTTAAGGGTCCTGTTGGTTCCAGACCTGGTGCACTGGTAGAGCTTTCCAAAAATTGCTCCTAAACAGGAGAGGGAATTATTTGGTTTATTTGACATTATTTGCTATATTGTTACTAGTCATATCTGGGTAAATCAATTATTTTTTGACAGCAAACTTTCTATTCATGTTTGCCCATGGAAGAAGGTCAGAAAGTGACTTTTTGGACCTGAATGCCAAAACATTCAGGAGATAAAGGTGCTCAAAGTTACATTTTACATTTTTAGTCATTTAGCAGACGCTTTTATCCAGAGCGACTTACAGTTAGTGAGTGCATACATTTTTCATACTGGCCCCCCGTGGGAAACGAACCCACAACCCTGGCGTTGCAAGCGCCATGTTCTACCAACTGAGCTACAGGGGACTGATCCAGTGGAAACGTCATTAAATAGGCCTACAGTGCCTTGCAAAAGTATTCATCCCCCTTGAAGTTTTCCCCACCTTGTTGCATTACAACCTGTAATTTAAATGGATTTTTATTGGATTTCATGTAATGGAAATACACAAAATAGTCCAAATTGGTGAAGTGAAATGAAAAAAATTACTTGTTTCAAAGAAAAATCTAAAAAATAAATAACGGAAAACTGGTGCGTGCATATGTATTCACCCCCTTTCCTATGAAGCCGCTAAATAAGATCTGGTGCAACCAATTACCTTCAGAGGTCACATAATTAGTTGAATAAAGTCCACCTGTGTGCAATCTAAGTGTCACATGATCTCAGTGTATATATACACCTGTTCTGAAAGGCCCCAGAGTCTGCAACACCACTAAGCAAGGGGCACCACCAAGCAAGTGGCACCATAAAGGCCAAGGAGCTCTCCATACAGGTCAGGGACAAAGTTGTGGAGAAGTACAGATCAGGGTTGGGTTATAAAAAAAATATCTGAAACTTTGAACATCCCACAGAGCACCATTAAATCCATTATCAAAACATGGAAAGAATATGGCACCACAACAAACCTGCCAAGAGAGGGCCGCCCACCAAAACTCACAGACCAGGCAAGGAGGGCATTAATCAGAGAGGCAACAAAGAGACCAAAGATAACCCTGAAGGAGCTGCAAAGCTCCACAGTGGAGATTGGAGTATCTGTCCATAGGACCACCTTAAGCCGTACACTACACAGAGCTAGGATTTACGGAAGAGTGGCCAGAAAAAAAGCCATTGCTTAAAGAACAAAATAAGCAAACACGTTTGGTGTTCGCCAAAAGGCATGTGGGAGACTCCCCAAACATATGGAAGAAGGTACTCTGGTCAGATGAGACTAAAATGTAGCCTTTTGGCCATCAAGGAAAATGCTATGTCTGGCACAAACCCAACACCTCTCATCACCCCGAGAACACCATCCCCACAGTGAAGCATGGTGGTGGCAGCATCATGCTGTGGGGATGTTTTTCATCGGCAGGGACTGGGAAACTGGTCAGAATTGAAAGAATGATGAATGGCGCTAAATACTGTGAAATTCTTGAGGGGAAACCTGTTTCAGTCTTCCAGAGATTTGAGACTGGGACGGAGGTTCACCTTCCAGCAGGACAATGACCCTAAGCATATTGCTAAAGCAACACTTGAGTGGTTTAAGGGGAAACATTTTAAATGTCTTGGAATGGTCTAGTCAAAACCCAGACCTCAATCCAATTGAGAATCTGTGGTATGACTTAAAGATTGCTGTACACCAGCGGAACCCATCGAACTTGAAGGAGCTGGAACAGTTTTGCCTTGAAGAATGGGCAAAAATCCCAGTGACTAGATGTGCCAAGCTTATAGAAACATACCCCAAGAGACTTGCAGCTGTAATTGCTGCAAAAGATGGCTCTACAAAGTATTGACTTTGGGGGTATTGTAAATCAATAGGACAGGTCCAAAGTGGAAATGTTGTGTGTTTATTAAAACAACATGTTTGTCAGTCAAGTTTTGTTCAAATACTAAGTTTTGTTCAAATACTTTTGAATGTTTCACAGGTAACATGCACAAAACACCATGCAAAAAAACACCTCAAAGTGATTTGAAATATCTGCAGTTGACTGTATATGTTTGTCCTCTCTCACGCTGATTCTCTCTCCCTCTCCTCCCTTCCCTCCCTGTAGTTGACTGTGTGAAGCAGACGGTAGATGGTCATGGGGTGAGGGGTCTGTACAGAGGGCTCAGCTCATTGCTCTATGGCTCCATACCCAAAGCAGCTGTCAGGTACACACACCACGACACACCACACACTGTCCATCTGTCTCAGTCTCATCCTCTGTCTCGGTAAATTTTTAATATGTCATTGACATCCTCTCTGTCTCTATCAGGTTTGGTGTGTTTGAGTTCCTCAGTAATAAGATGCGTGATGAGAGTGGGAAGCTGGACAGTACCCGGGGTCTCCTCTGTGGTCTGGGGGCCGGAGTGGCTGAGGCTGTGGTGGTGGTCTGCCCCATGGAGACGGTCAAGGTGTGTGTGTGTGTGTCTTAAACGGCTTTAGGAAATCTTAAACCATTATCTGTGTGTGACGTTACTCATTTGTAAAACAAAGGTCTGCATATAATTTGAATCTGTGTTCTCTTGTGTCATTTCAGGTAAAGTTCATCCATGACCAATCGTCAGCCAACCCAAAGTACCGGGGATTCTTCCATGGAGTCAGGGAGATCGTCAGAACAGAAGGTAAGGATGGGAGACAGACAGACACTGTGATTTACTGCCACCCAATATTCCCTCTAAAATGCGCTTGGCGCCGTAGCCCGAGACTGCTTTGCAGCTCCCCTGGGACTGCTTCACAGAATAAATATCAGCCCACAGAGAGAAGTACGAGATTGAACTTCACTCAACTTTCTAGAGCAGTGGTCACCAACCGGTCGATCTCCAAGGCATTGCTAGTCGATCACCAAACATTTCTGTAAAAATTAATCTGGGGCTGTTGGCGGTAGGTGCACCCGATTCAGCTGCCCTGCGCGCAGTGTAGGCGAACAGTTGCCATTTTGAACCATTTCATGTGTCTGAAGGTACAAACACTGCCTTCCCGGCGGCCCCGGAGAGCAAATCAAGTGCACTATAGGCCTACCGCTGGCCAATCGGATGGCTCAGATTACCATGTCTGCAGTAACGTTGCAGGCATAAAAGAAGGCTACAGCAAAGTTGATACTGTGAGATTTCTAAACGTTTAAAACCATGATTAGAGAGAGACTGTCAATGAATACAGCAAATAGCTGCTGTTTTTCATGTTTAAGTTCTTACTCAGCACTGTCAACACTTTGTATTCAACACTTTTATAAGCTATAAAATGCACATTCTTCCTATTTCAACTCAGCGCTACAACAAGCACTGCAGCAGTAATGAATGAGTAGTATAGTGTATCTATAGGCTTGCGTTGTTATTTTTTAATATCAAGGAATATTTAACTTTCTCTGTTCATAGGACTAACAACATGAATTTGTGCGCGAGGCAAAACATTATGCGGTGCGACTCGAGTTTCGCTATCAGCTGGAAGACGGTGTCCGTTTTTTGGTCAGTGTCAGCAGAGGGATGTTGAGAGGCAGACCCTCAGTCTGCTGCTCTCTCTCTCCGCTGAGACTGACCATCAGATGCAGGCACAATCAGCCCAGTAAAATAAAAAGCAAATTATTTAAATGTATGCTCACTCAGCTGTGCCTCACAAGTAATACAACAATGGATATATTACCGGTGTAATCATATAGCCTACCTCAAATGTTGAAATATAATTGTTTTAAATGTCCCGAACAACAATGCATTGGCAGGGCAATTCAAGCAAAGCCAATATGTGGTGACAATGTATTGGGCCTATAGCTTACTGCACAAACCTCATTGCTACATTACTGTTTTTTGAATTGGTTAATGTTGCATAGGCTTATGTTTTTTAAGTCATGTAAAAAGAAAAACCTGAGCGGTAGATCTCGGCTTGCATTTTGACTCCGTGATCTTGACTCGGAAAAGGTTGGTGACCACTGTTCTAGAGTTTTCCCTGTTAACACTATCAACATTTCCCTTTACTCTGGCACTTGTGATTGAATCAATGCAATATTAGCCACTTTCAATGTAACATACCGAAAACAAAACTAACTATGCAAGAGATTTTTTTGTAGGCAGAACGCATCGGAGTAGGATTCTATTGCATTGATACACACGACTCAGCCTGTACTCTACACAGACCAGTGCAGCATAACCAATTAGAGCTGCAGTAGGCCTATATGAAATTAGACCATTGCCATATACAGTGGGGGGAAAAAGTATTTAGTCAGACACCAATTGTGCAAGTTCTCCCACTTAAAAAGATGAGAGAGGCCTGTACATTTCATCATAGGTACACGTCAACTATGACAGACAAATTGAGGGAAAAAAATCCAGAAAATCACATTGTAGGATTTTTTATGAATTTATTTGCAAATTATGGTGGAAAATAAGTATTTGGTCACCTACAAACAAGCAAGATTTCTGGCTCTCACAGACCTGTAACTTCTTCTTTAAGAGGCTCCTCTGTCCTCCACTCGTTACCTGTATTAATGGCACCTGTTTGAACTTGTTATCAGTATAAAAGACACCTGTCCACAACCTCAAACAGTCACACTCCAAACTCCACTATGGCCAAGACCAAAGAGCTGTCAAAGGACACCAGAAACAAAATTGTAGACCCGCACCAGGCTGGGAAGACTGAATCTGCAATAGGTAAGCAGCTTGGTTTGAAGAAATCAACTGTGGGAGCAATTATTAGGAAATGGAAGACATACAAGACCACTGATAATCTCCCTCGATCTGGGGCTCCACGCAAGATCTCACCCCGTGGGGTCAAAATGATCACAAGAACAGTGAGCAAAAATCCCAGAACCACACGGGGGGACCTAGTGAATGACCTGGCCTCTCTCATCTTTTTAAGTGGGAGAACTTGCACAATTGGTGGCTGACTAAATACTTTTTTCCCCCACTGTATGGATCTGTGCCATTTACTTTGAACTTGACTGTGTTTACAGCATGAGCGGTTGTGAGTAGATTAGCTTGTTTTGAGATCAAAGCGAGAGCTGCATGTAGCCACGTGTGCACATTTTGTTCATATCCTCTAGTTAGTGAGTTATTAGCCCAGTTATAAAGTGAGGGGAAAACGTATTTGATCCCCTGCTGATTTTGCACGTTAGCCTACTGACAAAGAAATGATCAGTCTATAATTTTAATGGTAGGTTTATTTGAACAGTGAGAGACAGAATAACAACTGCAGGATCTCAAGGCAGCTGGGATCATAGTCACCAAGAAAACAATTGGTAACACACTACGCCGTGAAGGACTGAAATCCTGCAGCGCCCGCAAGGTCCCCCTGCTCAAGAAAGCACATATACAGGGCCGTCTGAAGTTTGCCAATGAACATCTGAATGATTCAGATGAGAACTGGGTGAAATTGTTGTGGTCAGATGAGGCCAAAATCGAGCTCTTTGGCATCAACTCAACTCGCCGTGTTTGGAGGAGGAGGAATGCTGCCTATGACCCCAAGAACACCATCCCCACCGTCAAACATGGAGGTGGAAACATTATGCTTTGGGGGTCTTTTTCTGCTAAGGGGACAGGACAACTTCACCGCATCAAAGGGAAGATGGACGGGGCCATGTACCGTCAAATCTTGGGTGAGAACCTCCTTCCCTCAGCCAGGGCATTGAAAATGGGTTGTGGATGGGTATTCCAGCATGACAATAACCCAAAACTCACAGCCAAGGCAACAAAGGAGTGGCTCAAGAAGAAGCACATTAAGGTCCTGGAGTGGCCTAGCCAGTCTCCAGACCTTAATCCCATAGAAAATCTGTGGAGGGAGCTGAAGGTTCAAGTTGACAAACGTCAGCCTCGAAACCTTAATGACTTGGAGAAGATCTGCAAAGAGGAGTGGAACAAAATCCCTCCTGACATGTGTGCAAACCTGGTGGCCAACTACAAGAAACGTCTGACCTCTGTGATTGCCAACAAGGGTTTTGCCACCAAGTACTAAGTCATGTTTTGCAGAGGGGTCAAATACATATTTCCCTCATTAAAATGCAAATCAATTTATAACATTTTTGACATGCGTTTTTCTGCATTTGTTTGTTGTTATTCTGTCTCTCACTGTTCAAATAAACCTACCATTAAAATTATAGACTGATCATGTCTTCGTCAGTGGGCAAATGTACAAAATCAGCAGGGGATCAAATACTTTTTTCCCTCACTGTAGATAATTTGTAGTCAACAATAGGAGAGCACAAAAAGTGTACATTTCTAGACATCTTTGAAAAGTGAGTCAGGTAAAGAGCTTTTTTTGGTCTTAAAGGGGCAGTGTTGTATTTTGAGACAGGCTCGAATAAGCTAAGTAGCCAATAGGCAGAGGGTAGCATAATTTGTCTGATTCTCTGTAGTAAAGGTATGGGAATAATAATGCATTTGATTTTGTAAAGTGGTTTCTTGCATCAAACAACACAACAATATTTTCAGTCACCTCCTTGTCTGAAGGATGTCAAGCCCTGCAAGTTTCTTTCAAAAGTCTCATGGAATGTAGGCCTACATTGAACACCACACATTGTCTGCTACTGTAGGCTGAATGATAGAACAGCTATTTCCATGTTAAAATGTTATGGGATGCATTTTCTCCATAGTCTTTTATGGTAGGCCAGTAAGGTAGGCCTACATTATGATCAAATAGCCTCAATAGGCTACTTGGCCACTGTTAAAACTGTAACTTAAAGCGGGTACAGCCTCAGTGTTCACAGTAAACGCGCTGGACGTTGCACAGAATTTTCACAACGTTCAAGTTTGCACTCAGCAGACCTGAAATTTGCTCAGTGCCTAATTTTATTTGAGGGAACATTGCTGCCACCTGAACCGCAGAAAGAAGAGAGAGTGTGGTTTGTACAGACTCATAATGTAGCTGTTGAACGAGACTGTGTGTATGTTGGAGTGTTAGTGCGTAGAGTCCTGTGAGTGTGCAGAGTCAGTGTAAAAATAAAATAAAAGGGTCAATGCAGATAGTCCGTATAGCCATTTTGTTAGCTATTTAGCAGTCTTATGGCTTAGGGATAGAAGCTGTTCAGGAGCCTGTTGGTGTCAGACTTGATGCTCCGGTACCGCTTGCCGTACGGAATCAAAGAGAACAGTCTATGGCTTGGGTAGCTGGAGTCTTAAAAAAATTCTGGCCCTTCCTTTCACACCGCCTGATATAGAGGTCCTGGATGGTAGGGAGCTCGTCTCCGGTGATGTACTGGGCTGTCCGCACCATCCTCTGTAGCACCATGCGATCGAGGGCGGTGCAGTTGCCATACCAAGCAGTGATGCAGCCACTCAAGATGCTCTCAATGGTTCAGCTCTTGAACTTGTTGAGGATTTGAGTGCCCATGCCAAAATATTTTCAACCTCCTGAGGGGGAAGAGGCGCTGTCGCGCCTTCTTCACGACTGTGTGTGTATGTGGACCATTTTAAGTCCTTTAGTGATTTGGACACAGAGGAACTTGAAGCTCTTGACCCGCTCCATTACAGCCCTGCCGATGCCCCCCTTTCCTGTAGTCCACGATCAGCTCCTTGGTATTATTGATGTTGAGGGAGAGGTTGTTATCCTGGCACCACACTGCCAGGTCACTGACCACCTCCCTGTAGTCTCATCATCGCCGGTGATCAGGCCTACCACCATTGTGTCCTTAGCAAACTTGATAATTGTGTTGGAGTCGAGCGTGGCCACACAGTTGTGGGTGAACAGGGAGTACAGGAGGGGACTAAGCACACACCCCTGTGAGGCCCCCATGTTGAGGGTCAGCGTGGCGGAGGTGATGTTGCCTACCCTCACCACCTGGGGTCGGCCTGTCAGGAAGTCCAGGATCCAGTTGCAGAGGGAGGTGTCCCAGGGATTGCGTTGTCTATGGATCTGGCGGTATGCAAATTGGAGTGGATCTAGGCCTAGGGTGTCTGGGCTGATGGAGTTGATGTGTGCCATAACCAGCCTTTCAAAGCAGTTCGTGATTACAGATGTGAGTGCTACAGGGCAATAGTAATTGTGGCAGGTAGCCTTAGAGTTCTTTGGAACAGGAATGATGGTGGTCAGCTTGAGACGTGGGATTACAGACTGGGATAAGGAAATGTTGAAAATGAATATGCCTGCCAGCTGTTCTGCGGATGCTCTGAGAACGTGCCCTGGAATAATATCCGGCCTTGCGAGTGACCTGATTTAAAAACCTTATTCATGTCTCCCTCAGAGAGTGAGATCACCCAGTCCTCTTGGTCAGGGGGGGGCCTCATGCACAGCACAGTGTTGTTTTTGTCGAAGCGTGCATAAAAATGCATTGGGTTCGTCTGGTAGAGAGGCATCATTGGCCAGATCATGGCTGGGTCTTCCTTTGTAATCCGTAATGGACTGTAGCCCATTCCACATGCGGCAGGCGTCGGTGCCTGTGTAATAGGATTCCACCTTGTTCCTATATTGTCTTTTTGCTTGTTTGATGGCTCTGCGGAGGTCGTAGCAGGACTTTTTGTACTTGTTTGTGTCCTCAGCCGTAGCCTCGGGGTTGGCTGCAATAGCCCTGAGTGCGGTAGCCCTGTCCCTTAGCGCCAACCTCTGTGTTAATCCAGGGCTTTTGATTGGGGAAGCAGCGAACCTTCACTGTGGGGACAACGTTGGCGATCCATTTCCTAATGAAGGTTAGCTCGTCGACGCTATCGGCAGTGTCCCGGAACACATTCCTGTTTGAGTTTCTGCTTGTAGACAGGAAGCAGGAGTATAGAGTCACGATCTGATTTCCTGAAGGGGGATGCAGGAGGGCCTTGTATGCTTGCCTCTGGGTAGAGTAACAGTGGTCTAGGACATTATTGGCCCAAGTGGCGAAGGAGACATGTTGATGGAAGTTGGGAATCACACGTCTTAATGACGGGGAATTAAAATCACTGGGGACTAGAAAAGCAGCCTCCGGGTGCATGGTTTCCTGCTTATTTATAGCCTTGTACGGTTCAGTAAGTGCCAGCTTGTTGTTTTTCTTGTCCTGAGGTGGAATATATACAGCAGTCAGGTTAACAGCTGAAAACTCTCAAGTGACCAATAGAATGGAGGGAAGAGGTGGCTGGTTTTCCCTTCACCTTAATCTCGTCAGGACTATTTTTCGCGGGCGTTTCCTTTTGGGTAGCCTGAAACTTGGTTTGGCGTTACACAAAGAGCCCAGGGCAGATGAGTCGAAGTTGAAGCCGGAATTTAGGTTAGGAACTACCGATCTGATGTTCAGAAGTTATTGTCGATCATAAGAAATTATAGCGGATACATTTGGTGCAAAAAAGTAAAGCTAAATGCTGAGCTCACGACGACAGCCAATACAGTACGGCACCATAACTGAAATGACTGTTAAAAAAATTAATAAAAAAGGATTAGTAATGTCAAATATACTGTGTCTGTAACATTTATATAGGTTCAGAACTTTTGTGAAACAGCACAGTCGGGCCTCCCGAGTGGCGCAGCGGTCTAAGGCACTGCAGTGCTTGAGAAGTGACTACAGATCTGGGTTCGATCCCGGATTGTGTCGCTGCCGGCCACGACCAGGAGACCCATGAGGCGACGCACAATTGGCCCAGCGTCGTCCGGGTTAGAGGAGAGTTTGGCTGGCCCGGATGTCCTTGTCCCATCGCGCTGTAGCAACTCCTGTGGCGGGCCGGGCGCATGCACGCTGACACGGTCGCCAGGTGTACAGTGTTTCCTCCGACACATTGGTGCGGCTGGCTTCCGGGTTAAGCGAGCAGTGTGTCAATAAGCAGTGTGGCTTGGCAGGGTCGTGTTTCGGAGGACGCATGGCTCTCGACCTTCACCTCTCCCGAGTCCGTACGGGAGTTGCAGCGATGGGACAAGACTGTAACTCCCAATTGGATATCACGAAATTGGGGAGAAAAAGGGGTAAAAAGTTAAATACAAAAACAGCACAGTTTAAAAATATTCAGAGATAGATGGGAGGGGTTCAGGGTAGCTGAAGGATGGGACTAAAAACAAACAAAAGATAACTATTGTAAAATATACTATGTTCGTAAAATGTTATAGTATGTATAAGCTTGAAGTAGAAGCCTAAGTGTTGTTACCCATTAGTTTACTCCAATTAGGGGAGGGGTGGTAGGATTAGGGGAAAATAATAAAGGAAAAAATATGTGTATATATATATATATATATTTTTTTTTACATAAAAACATATGGAGATTTGGAAATTATGCAGACAACTACATTGATGGATGCCACAATATATCTGCAATATTAAAGAAGACTGTTTAATGGTTATTCTATGGTTATTGGGGTGTTTGATGAGAGGTTGTGGGATTGTTGTTTGCTGGTTATTGGCTGTGTGTTGATGTGTTATCTATGTCTCCTCCAGGCCTGAGGGGGACGTACCAGGGTCTGACAGCCACAGTACTGAAACAGGGATCCAACCAGGCCATCCGCTTCTACGTAATGACATCTCTAAGGAACTGGTACAAAGGTGTGTGTGTGTGTGTGTGTGTGTGTGTGTGTGTGTGTGTGTGTGTGTGATCGATCCACTGAGTTTGAACCCTTCTCTCCTGTGTGTGTGCTGTTTACCTGTGTGTGTATCCAGAGAGTCTCACTGCTCTCTCTCTCTCTCTCTCTCTCTCTGTTCCCTAGGTGATGACCCTAACAAGGCCATTAACCCTCTGGTCACGGGAGCATTCGGAGCCTTCGCTGGAGCTGTCAGTGTGTTTGGAAACACTCCACTGGATGTCATCAAAACCAGGATGCAGGTACACACCACCATTTATTAATGACCTGGTCACATGCAGTGAATTGTATCTCTTTTACTATACTTGTATCATTTTGTTAGTTAAACCCTGTCCCTCTCTCTACTAACAGGGTCTGGAGGCTCACAAGTACAAAAGCACCCTGGACTGTGCCGTCAAGATCATGAAGCATGAGGGACCTAAAGCGTAAGTGTCTCCGTACACACTAACTTTGTGACCTCCTGTCCCATTTTCATCTATTTTTATCAGACATAATGGTATTGATCCTGTGTCTGCCCTTTGCCTCCTTCCTTCATTATTTCCTCTCTCCCCAGGTTCTATAAGGGTACAGTCCCCAGGCTGGGCAGGGTGTGTATGGACGTAGCCATCGTCTTCATAATCTACGAGGAGGTGGTGAAGGTCCTCAACAAAGTCTGGAAGACGGACTAAGGTCACGTTTCCGTGATGACCAGCAGAGCTAAGAACACCCGGGAGGGGCGGGGCTATGGCCTTATTCCAAACCCAATCCTTCTGCCCTTTCCTTAGGTTATCCATGACTTGCTACCTCCTTACAGATCTGACATGACTGGTTAGATTTCATTCCAAAAGGTTGTTCTGGGACCCCTGCCATGGTTTAATTTGTTAGTTGGAATGAAATGCAGCCATGATGGGTGTAAACAATCTGGGGATGAGTGCACTTCACCTATGATCCTATTGGGGATACTACTATCATATTGTTTATACTTACTGCCTTTGTTCTTATTTATATCCACAGGGGGGAGTGAGCAAGGGCACAGGGGTAGGGTGAGGGATTTGGCCTATATGACTGGAATAATGGGAACACTGTGTCATTCCAGAGAAGTGTCTTAGACCGACAGTGCTTCAGTTCACTCATGGCTATTATTAACATCTCATGTTGTAAGTTAACATTAATCAAATATGAAAGAATACTTATAGCTAAAACCCAATGTAATGTGGCCCCGTGTAGCTCAGTTGGTAGAGCATGGCGCTTGCAACGCCAGGGTTGTGGGTTCGATTCCCACGGGGGGCCAGTATGAAAATGTATGCACTTACTAACTGTAAGTCGCTCTGGATAAGAGTGTCTGCTAAATGACTAAAATGTAAATGTAAATGTAGATCAAGAAAAAAAATGTGAAATGAGAGAGGAGGAGGATCAAAGGCTTTTAACTCCAAAGACCATGTTGAACATTTAACATGATGGTTTGACCCAGTGAAATGGTTCTGGTAGAGAAGTGGAGGCTGTCGTTTTTACACATGATAGCAGTATAAGAGCGTCTGCTAAATGACTAAAATGTAATGTCTGTTCACGTGTCACATGGGTGTTATTTACCAGGTTTAATGCAGGTCTGAAATGATTTAGCTGCTTTACATACCTGAGTGCAATTACAACACAATGCCTTATAGATCATTATATTCAGAGATGTCTTTATGGTAGAGAGCTAGTATATGTACAGTGCCGTGAAAAAGTATTTGCCCCCTTTCTGATTTTTGAATATTTTTTATACTGAATGTTATCAGATCTTCAACCAAAAGGGAACCTGAGTTTACAAATAACCCAAAAAAGATATACTTATTTTATTTATTTAATTAACATTTTGCTTACTGGGACTTCTAATTTTGCGAGGGGCAGCATTTTTTGGTCTCGCCTCGGGCGGCAAAACGGCAAGGACTGGCCCTGCTTCCTAGAGTCTTGATGATCATCAAGGTGCTTCCAGGTGCTTTTTGGCAAACTTGAGTCAACTTTTTGGAGGACATGTGTCCCATTATGCCTGATGAAAACCAAACAATGCATTCCACAGTAAGAACCTTATACCAACTGTCAAGCATGGTGGTGGTAGAGTGATGGTTGGGGATGCTTTGCTGCCTCAGGACCTGACGACTTGCCGTAATAGAAGGATCCATGAATTCTGCTCTGTATCAGAGAATTCTACAGGAGAATGTCAGGCCATCCGTCTGTGAGCTGAAGCTGAAGAGCAGCTGGGTCATGCAGCAAGACAGTGATCCAAAACACACAATCAAATCTACATGAAAATGGCTAAAAAGCAACACATTTGAAGTTTTGGAATGGCCTAGTCAAAGTCCAGACCTAATCCCAATTGAGATGTTGTGGCAGGACTTGAAACTAGCAGTTCATGCTTGAAAACCCACAAATGTCGCTGAGTTAAAGCAGTTCTGCATGGAAGAGTGGGCCAAAATTCCTCCCCAGCGACATGAGCGACTGACCAACAACTACAGGAAACATTTGGTTGAAGTCACTGCAGTTAAAGGTGGCACAACCAGTTATTGTGTGTAAGGGGGCAATTACTTTTTCACACAGGGGCATTGTGTGTTAGATACATTTTCATTTATTTCATAAACAAAATTATCTTAAAATAGGTTTTGGTTGAAGATAACATTCATTAAAATAAGAAAGGGGGCAAATACTTTTTCACAGCACTGTATATAGTAATAAAAACAATAATAATAATTGTTGTGACCATAGAATTAAAATAAGAACTCAGAATTTAATTACTACCCATTTTTATTCTATGGTTGTCGTAACCCTGTTTTGGCATAGAATTAAGAATGAGAATACTAATTAAATTGAATAGTAATTTCATAGGATCTCTGTTTTTTGGTGTCTGTCAAATACAGAGATGAACATGTTGTACAGTATACTCAGACATTCTGCAGAATGCACCAACACTTTTCAAGTGAATTCCATAAAAACATTGACCAAGCTTGAGATGGTGGTGAAGGACTTTGCAGTTGTAAATGTGAAACATCAGAAATATATTTACATAATGATTGGTTTTTGTGAGGTTGAATGGTGTAGGAAGGTGCCTGCAAATTAATTTTATGATGGTTTTAGAAATCTGGTATAACATCTGTTACAAATGTCTAAAGTTGAAATGTTTAATGTTGTATGTCTTAGCTGGGTCAGTTTTTCCTCACTGACTTACAGTATGATACAATAACACTTAATCATTGTTTTTAAGGTGTTTATTTTATATCGACAGTAACACAGTGCAATAATGCCTTGCTGAGATGTTTTTACTGACAAATATGATCAGATCTACTGGTACTAGTTGACAGTATAGCTTACCAGACCATCTTTGTAATGCAGCCTTGAGTAATTCAATGTGATGAGATGTTGCCTGGTAATGTTCCCTGGCAGTTATAGAGTAGGTATAAATGCCCTTGGATTTACAATTCATTCTCACATATTTTCTTGGTAGTGTTAGTGGAGCGGGTGGGGACATCGATTTTTATTTAAGATTTCTAGATTTATATTTTGCAAAACCTAATAGACATTTTTCATGAAACAATACATTTGCCACTTATGGTCTGCCCAATGTTAGAAACATCTATTTTTGATGCTCCTAGACAAGATCGTATGTAAGCATGTTTTATTGAAAGACCATGCACAGTCATTGCAGATTGTATTGCCTGAGAGACATTTGTAACATTTGCATTTGGGATTTTGAATATGCCATGTGTGCATTAAAGAGTGTGTAGAGGATTGTGTAGAAGATGAGTCTGTTTAGCCTCTTATGACAGGATTGGTTTTAAAAGTGTGTTTGCATCTTACAACTGGATTATTGTTTGCACTGCCATAATACCACAGAAGAAGAAGATAACTGGAGTAGTTATCCTCAAGGTCCTACAAACTGCATCCTCCCACATCAAGATGTTTGTGTGTGACCACTTATTGTTTATAATCCCCTATTCATTGTCAACCCAACTGGAACATTTTACATTTAAGGATTCCTATATAATTCTACAATTTCTGGTTCTCCGCAGACATGATTTGTGATACAGTCGAGTTCTCAAATTGTTTGATTTCAAAACCTTGGTCCTTGTTGACCATTAACAACGCATTTTTCTGATGACCTTGTAGTGCGCCGTATGAACTCACGTGCTCGCCGTAGTTGTTGGTGTCCGCTAGCTAGTTAGCTTGTCCTCTTCGCAGCGGTAAGCGCTGTAAAATGTTCTTACTACCTGTTTGTGTTGAATTATAAAAATGTCTGCGAAAGCAACAGGAACCAGAGGGTTTTATTTCAATACTGTCTTGTCCCTGGCGCGCTCTTTGGCCGCACACCGCCCTGCTCCGATAGATAAGGTGAGTCTGAGTGATGTCAGAGCATAAGCATTAGTGAGCTAATGGTAACTAAATTGGCTATTAGGTTCAGTTAACATTACATTTATACATTATTGTTATATGTACATGGCTAAATTATAGTGATGCTATCGAGACCAGCTACGAGTTAGCTAACGTTAGTCGTTTTCCATGAGCTACACAACTGTTGGAGAAACAGCTAGCTAAGCTAGTAAACTATGCTAGTCATTCATTCTCAATAGGCTGAACATGACATTTGTTAACGTTTTTTTCTGATAAGAATTAGTTCATTGCATCCGCCGTGGAGCCCAGTTTCATAATATTACCATATGTCCCAGCTGCTTGCCGTAGTTTAAGTAAACACGAAAAAACAGGCCTTCTTTTAGGGCATTTTTCACCCTACCAGCTCCTATTAGTTATATTGAGTTCGGTGGCACCAACTCGCCTTCCGAATGTTTTATTCCCAGCCCATTGTAATACGTCACAATGCCTGCTTCGCTATTGTTGGCAATGAGACCTGCCCAGGTTGAACCAATTGCTGATAGTTAAAACGTCAACAACAAAACATTACCCATGGAACTCTGAGGTTGTCCCAGTGTTTCCTATAGGGTAAATATAGGTATGTCTGTCTATTTCGACAAATATCTTGCAATGTGTGTTTTGATTTTTTCCAAGTCGGGGACCATTTTAATCATGAGAATCTCCTCTTTCTAAATATGTAAAGCTGGGCAGCGTACTCCGTTGTCAAACGCTAGCCCCGAAATACCTTTTGCCCTTGGAACGCTGAGCTCCCCCCATTGTTTTCCTATGGAGAGGCATGCTGGTATATTTCGCCAAATATCTCGCAATGTGTATATTTAGATTTTTTCAAGTAGGACACCATTTTAATCACGACAATCTCCTCTTTCTAATTATGTAAGGCTGGGCAGCGTACTCCGTTGTCATCGATCGCTAGACCAGAAATAGAAGTTTTCCCTACTTCCTCGTTATACAGACAAAAGCACAGTTGACACCATCAAGGTGCGGATATTTACTTTCTACACGAGTTGTTATTTTTCAGTTTCGTCCTAAGGACAGATTGTAGTGGTAAAATGAAAAGGTATACATTTTTGGTGCCATTTAGGTTAAATGGAATTCTAAGTATAATCCCAGTCAAAATAGGCTCTGCGAACGTTTGATTCAATTAATTTGCTATGGGCTCGTGCTAGTGTTAGTTTAGCCAACGTTCTATTGCCGTTTTTCAGCCTTGGGTGAATTTTGACTCATTCTATTGTCCAACCTATTCTCAAACAAGGCCCTTGCTTTGGCTTGCCATTCCACGTCGGAACGC